TCCACTAGCTGTTGTACTTGTTAAATTAATTATATAATAATAGTGTATGGCCATTCCGACTATCACAATGAGTCTGATGTGTTTGTGAGGTAGTGAGAGAATCAATGGGCTGTGCTCAGCTCTACAGTAAAATAAGATTTTCATAGATACGTGTCAGTGTTGATATTGTGGCAAACCACAACCACCACCACAAATTAATCAATTTATGCGAAACATTGTTAATTAAAGGATCTGGTATAACGGACACCACAGCAGTTTTCTTATTGAATAGTTCTCTTCATTTTGAATTACCAGTATGTTTTAAAGTTGTGAATGCGGTCGAGGACAAGTATGCACAGGACGAGGTTTCACACATACACACACATTTTTTTTCCCTGGCTGCATTCAGTGAAAGAGAATATCGGTGACAGAACCAATCAAAGGCAGAGCAGCGACGAGTCCTTGCAGATATAGGAACACAATGACCCCTACCTTTTTCACTGTAATAAAAATAATAATAATAGTAATACTGTCATATATATATATATATATATAATATAAAAATAGCAGGGTAGCTGGTATATATATATATATATTTGGTAATTCTCCTTGATCACCCAATAATCAGTTTTGGCGACACAGGTATGTATCATCAAGTCCACCCATTTCCCTATGCATTCCGGTACTTTTTTCCAAAATAGGAAAATGAGTTTACACTCCCATATTGCATGTAAAAATGTTCCTATATATGTCTGATGTTTCCAGCATAAATTATTAGTCAGTAAACCCATCGTGTAGAGCTTGGAAGGAGTAAAATAAAACTTTGAATTATCTAATACTGAATAAATTTCTCTTCAGTCTCCTTAAAGGTGCAATGTGTAAGATCTGGCCAAATCTGGCCAGACTTTTAGTTTAAAATGTTCAAAAAATGAACTAACACCATCAATAGTATGTGAAGGAGCCACAGTGATGATGTCATGACTAGGGTTGTCACCGGAACCGATACTTCGGTACCAAGTCAATGCCACGTGGCAAAAAACGGGACGGTACTAGTTTTTTCGTGGTTATTGAAGGTACCAAAATTACCGACAGGTGTCGAGATTGATAGTCACCCTCTTTGGAAGTAACATAACCACTAGGTTGCAGTCTAGCCGCAATAACAAATGAAAGATTGCGACAAGTTCAGGCACACAACTTGGTCCAGCTGCAGCACCTTGGCTCGTCGAAAGAAAAGCCAGAAGAGTCGTGTATGGAAATATTTTGCTTTCGAGGCGGATGATGAGAGGTTGATTATAGACCTGCAAAAGCCCGTTTTGCTTTCCAAGCCACAGTTGAAATGCTGTGCAATAAAAGTTTTACTGCGTATATTTTAGCAAAGTATTGTTTACTTTAAATACTTGAAGGCTACATGCCACTGTTCTTTTTTGCAGTTTAAAAGTTGTTTAAGTTTATTATTATATCTATTATATGTCCATATTTTTATGTCTAAGGGCACTATAGCTGAAAAGCTGTGGAAAAAAAAGGTGATATTTTATATTTTAGCACAGTATTGTTTATTTTAAATTCTTGAAGGCTACATGCCACTTTTCTTTGTTTTTTTATTTCTATTTTTGGTGCATGGAATTTATTGTGTGATTTAGAAAAAAAAAAAAAATTTACCGTTGTGTCGAAATAGGTATCGAGAATCGTGGAATTTCACTGGTATTGGTATCGACTACTAAATTTCTGGTATCGTGACATCCCTAGTCATGACCAAGACCACCATCTATTGTATTTCAGAGATATCTACTGAAATGAGCATGCTAACCAAGTAGCCGTGTCCCGGACCGTGTTGTAATAACACGAGACACACTAGATGCTGTGTGAGTCAGTGTAGCGCCTTGTTTGCCCTCAGTCCCATGGAGGAGAAGAGCTTCCTTCTGCGCTTGAAGTTATGCTATAGCTCCCGACTAAAAAAAACAAAAAAGAAAAAAGCTGCCGACAAGCATCACAGAAATGCACAGATGTCTGAAGTGCATAGAAAGCAATCTTTATCTCCATTCCGAAGAACTGCCCCAACAAGAAAACCATGTTCAATGGCAAAGAAGCAAAACACGTGTGAATGCTGGTGTGCTTTTCCACCGCGGGAGACAGCTCCGGATAAGTAAAGAGATGAGGCTTTTCTTTTAGAATGGTGAGTAACATCTAATGTTGGTTTGTAGCAAAAACTATCATTAGTGCAAATGACAAACCTTACTGATCCAGAACCAGCGGACCGTCCAGTCTCTGAGTTACAAAAATTACCTTTACTCTCCAAATAATATTTAATTTCACTCATTTCATAAGTTCAGAAAAAGATATAAACACTCCATACAGATCACACAGTTATATATCCTTTGTAAAAGCCATTGTTTCCAATAGACAGTTTTTTTCCCCGATATGTATGGAAGGGTTGTGCCATAGAGAGGCGTAAGACTGAGGTGCGAGGCACCACACATCCTGTGGACCAATCTCCAAACTGCTTTAGAATACTGGGATTGAAGAGAAATCTATTAGTAGTTGACCAATGTGAGAGAACATCCAAAGGTTTAAAAGGACTTATTAACTCCTGTTCTCAACATTGTTGTGCATTGTCAGCATCATAAGTGTTGTGCTACAGGTGCTCCCCAGTCTAAGAGACATAAAGGAACCTTTTTTTTTTTGGGTTCAAGACCAACAAACATCATATCATTTTTATATTTTTTTCAGTGATCACAACTGCAATATCTGCCAAAATAACCACAAAAAAATAATATACACAATATTTTTTTTGCATATGTAGTATATGCATATGTAACCACACGCACACACACGCACACACACACACACACACCGCCTCCGTCAAATTTTGTGCCGCCTCTGCCTCCTGGTAAAATTCTAGTAGGCCTATTTGTTTTCTCAGTACTCGGTGAATTTGACGTTTGTAACTGCAATCGTGGCTGTATGCCACTACGGCAATGTAGTGATGTGTAGTGTAGTGATTAGGGTTGCCACCCGTCCCGTATAATACCCAGTCCCATATTTTGAAAATAATTAGATTCTAGTACTTGTTTTCTCTGTACTCGGTGGATTTTAATCAATACGAGACGCAGTTTGTTATGTCCTCAAAGTGCTGTTAATAATGTAAAACCAAACCAGTTGCAACTTTTTTTCACATAAAAGGTGGCAACCCTACAGATGAATATTATCCATAATAATATTAAAATATTATTATAAAAAAATTATATTATCTCTTTTACATCCAAGCACACCCAGCTTCTTGAAAAGTTTCCCTAAATTAATGGTACATCCCATCATGTATGTTTTTTTTGCAGAAATGTCTCAAATCGCAGATTATTGTAGCAAGAGTTCGCGAGGAGGAGAATCGCGAGGACAGGTGAAACTGCAGAATGCAGACATCTTTAGTTCTTCCAATTTGGGGATAAAAAAGTTAATTCATGTTACTGACGAGATCTGGCAAATTTGAAAATGTCACATTTGTCACAGTTTTGGTTGCATGTGGTTGCGCTCTGGGAGTGTAGTTAGTATCAGTCCAGTCAGCAGAATGAGCTGATACATATTGCACGTGATTAACTCAGACAACATGATTGAATCCATGCCTTAACTTTTCTGTGATAAAAGTTATTTTTATATTAATTAGTTGAAAATGAAGCCAGTGTGAGACTATTATGAGTGATTATTATTGATTAATTATTTTCATTCCCAACATCTTTGACAAAAGAACATTCTACCTTGACGTAGGGCAAAAATCATAATCAATTATGTTGATCAATATTGAGATCATGATTACTCATTGACTTTGGAAAAACCAGGCATTTATTGAACTTTATAAAATAAACAGAAAAAAACATTTCAAAACAAAAAGCATTGTCTACGGTCTGTGTAGTTTTTCTGGTTATTCATGATACACTGGGCGTGGTCTCTCCTGACTATATATAGAAAGTCTCTGGCAAACTGCTCAAGGTGATGCACTACTACGCCCAAACATAACCAGGAAGTGGAAGGGGGGGGGGTGAAATTTGTTGCAAAATAGAATGCAGTACTATAATAGTTTTTTAAGCTTTTCTTAAAAGTTGCAATGCATGTTGTGATGTTTTTAGATGGTTTTTTGCAATGAAAGTGGAGGAGAAAAAAGTGATTCTGCTCCTCTGCTCCGTCTTAATCACAGGTAGAGCTGATCTTTATAATCAATTTATCAATTTATAACAGAGCTTTTTATGTGTGTGTAGTAATTTTATACCCTGCCCCACAGTTTCTGTCTTATGAAACACTGAATGATGAATGAAAGGATGTTTTCTTGAACGTTACTTGATTTGTGATTGACGTTTGGAAATCAGTCAATACACCTTAAATGCCAGTATGAGAACTTTGACCATTTGTTTTTATCAGTTCTCTTCATGACTTTAGTTCTTTAGTGATGATCAGATCCTCAAGCTCTTAAAATGTAGATATTTTATTTCATCTGGATAATAAAAGTAGTTGAGCCTCCTTCCGGTGGCTCCGGCAGCTCTACACCTGTGGTTCCACCACAATGTTGCAGTAGTACAAAACTATTTAACCCTTTCATGTAAAACATGGTTGAATGTCTTCACATGGTCTTTAACAGTGATGTTTGTTGGTAAATGTGAGACGTTCATGTCACACATATCTGCAGCTTCACAACATGCTTCAAAACCAGAAATAAGGAAGTGAGTTTGATGACATCATTAAGGTTTTGCGCAGGGACTGGTATGACTGGTTCGATTTGCGGGAAACTTTGATGATTGGTCAAATTTGTGGAAAAGTTGCGGTGATTTGACAAAATGCAAGGTTGTACAGAATTCACAGGCATTGGTTGAATTTGTGTTAATATTTGAGACATGGTGACTTTCTGGAGGGACTGGCTAATGCACTCCCCAACATCTGTAAACAGACATGTGATGTACTGTACCTTTGTATTGCTGTTTACATACTGGAGTATCTTCTCTTTGACCAACCCTTTCTTCCTCTCCTCACGACTGTAGGAGCAGCATCCTTACCAACCATCACCCAGAGCGACTCTGCCCCCTCTTTGTTTCATCCTCTTGTCACGGCTGCAGAAGGATACCTTAAACCTGACAAACCTCAAGACACAAATGGCTGGAGGAGTCCCTTCCACACATAAAAGCCAAAGTTTTCCACTGTTTTGATGAGGTTATTTTTGGGCCGTTGCACCAGAGAGGCTGTATTATCTGATGGATTTTTGTGGGAGCGTGTTATCCTAGCCTCAGTGCTCCCTGCCGGGGAAGGAAGCAAAGGGAAGGCCCTAGAATTCTCTGGAGACAAGGGCAAAAAAGAAAGCCGCCTGTTGCTGGGAGGCTGACGGTTACGCAACTGACAGGCGCAGTTGTCCACCAACACAGTGGAAGAAAGAGACCAGTGGGGGGAGCTGAGTTGTGCTATGCTGCCATTGCTGGCAAAACTCCTGATCAACACTGTCACTTTAGCTCTTTCTCAACTATATTATTTACATGGATACTGATGGATGTTCTACTGGATTCCCCCCCAGATCTTTTGGAAAGAACCACACTATCACTTCCTGCTTTCACATCCCTGGTGCAGCTGGCAGGTGAGGTGGTTTAAATCAGCCACCGGCGGGGTTTAGGGATGCCCCGACACAGGAAAACCAGGCTACTCCACTGGCCCGCTTACAGACTGCTGTTTATAGTACGAATCCTGGACTGAGAGCTGACTGTCTCCTTCTTGAACAGGGAGCATCATTTTTTTATTCGCAAGACCTTTTCTCACTGGGGTGCTGAAAACTCTGACTGAATAGGAATCTCCATACGCAGATGTAGCTACAGATAAGCCCATTTCCCATTTCAGGTCTTGATCTGCACATTTTCTAAGCTGAAGAACGTCACTGAATCATTATCATCCCAGACTTATTTCTTCTGAGCTTTTTTACTCCTTTCATCCTCATTTCATTTCTTGCTGTTGCTTTTGTTCCGCCTTATAAATCAGTCTCCTACCAAAACAGGTTTACCTCTGCCAACTCTGGTACCTCACTAAACTCCCATTTATACCAATCAATAGACCAATCAAATCAATCTGGACCAGTTTTCTGTATTTCAGGATTTGACTGAAATCACTTAAGAACTAAATTGTGTTTTAACAGAAGGGTCCAAATACTTTTTTTTAATTTTACATCTAACAGCCATATTTTTTTAATTGCACTATTATCATGATTTTCACCAAGCCTTTATTCACCTTGAAGCAGATTTACACTTTTTAGACAGTTTTTTTGTGTGTAAGAATTATCAGTTTCTATTGGCTTGTATTGTAATTTATTGACATGTTTGGTGGGACACAGTTCAGCTAGTGTTGTGGATGTGCCTACACCTCTTTTCCTCTTTATAATCTGTGGCTTATTTGTTCATCCATCCTTACCACCTGTTTTTGTGGCTAACAGGGAAACAAGGCTTTTACAGCAGAGAGACCTGTAAGCTTCTTTTAATCTCTCACACACAGTAGATCAGGTCAGAAAACAAGCGTTCACTCCTCCTCCCATCTCACTGTGATGATGCAGAGGAACTTTTTCCTCTTTTCCACTTGAAAGAATAAACCCCTCTCAGCTATTCCTCCATCTCTGTCATCATCTGTCGTTTCTGTTCCCACTCAATACGCCTGGAAAAATATTTAACTTTGAATGACAAATTCCTTGGCGTAGCAGTTGCTGAACAGACACACACCGCACCACACACAGGAAGTGATGCCAGGTGGCAGCAGTAAGAGCGGAGGGCGGGGTCCATCCTCGTCACCCCTCCCCCATGCTGTGGTCCCACCCAGCAGACCCCTGCGACCCTCCCGTTACGTCCCCGTGTCGGCAGCCACCTTCTTCCTCGTTGGTTCCACCACACTCTTCTTCTGCTTTACGTAAGTGGCAGCAGACACACACACACACACACACACACACACACACACACACACACACACACACACACCAGAGGCCTGTTTATGAGCTATGATGAAACAAATATTTAATCTCACAAACATATAACACTGGTCAAAGGTTTTACAGCACTCCCATTTCTCCAGTTTCTTTATTGAGATTTCAGCAGCTCAAGACCACTGAAAAACCGTAAATGGTATAAAAGTAAGTAGTGAACTGCCCAAGGTAAAAAAACAACACAAGAAAACTAAAACCAACTACAGGAAGTAGGACTGTAAACTGCTGTCAGAGTGGAGGGAGCAGTAACAGAGGAAGATGGACTGGTTGATAATTAGCCACAGGAACAGAACCAGATGATGGAGACCAGCACAGTCTCCAGGAACTGGTCTGGGTTAAGCTTTAATTTCAGAGTCCACTGGGACATTACAATTTGTAAATGTCAGTAACAACTGGAAAAATGGAGGTGTAAAACTGTACATCATAACAAACATAAGATGATCAAGGAGAGCAGAGCCCTGTTCTTGATTGGATTTGTGATGATGTGATATGATGTGATAGAGCTGTTCTCAGAGCAACACTTTAAATAATTTCCTGTATCTGTGTCAGGTGGTTTCTCCACCTCCCCGCCCCTTTAGGAGACCAGCAGCAGGTCTGAGTCTGTTCAGTCCAATCAGAGAAGTTAGCCTTATCACAGTTTATGACTCTTTTGCCTCATAGTCACCAAAATAAATATTATAGCCATTTTTCACAAGCCACAGATCTTCAGAACATTCAGACATTAAAATGTTATTTTTCAGACAGATCAGGAAAAATTTACTTTATTCAGACAACACTCAGACATCTCACAACACAGATCTCTTCTCTCTGTTGGTTCTGGTTTCACCACTGGAGAAGAGCTGCTGATGCTTTCCAACCACAGAAGTTTAGAGGGACCTATACGTGCAACCATGAATTAAAAGTTAAAACTGAAATAAAACTTTTAAAAATTGTATTTCTTTACGTAATAATACTATTATTGTTATTATAATATGACTGTTTTTGGAGGGAAAACAGAGTATATTATTGGACTGATATGATCTTGCACTGGGTTGATAAAAAAGAGCAGCAAAATCAGGCTTAAATTCAAACTATCTAGTGTTGTATTGGGTTAGGGTTAGGGCTAGCAGTCCCAACCACGCCCACACCACGAGATGTGGTTAATTTGTCAGGACTGAAAGTAGGCCTAGTTTGTCCTGTATGGAATCAATACGGGACACCTCCACCTCTCGACAAATTCTAGTACTTATTTTCTCGGTATTCGTGGATTTCAATCAATACATGACGCAATTTGTCCAGTATTTTCATTCATGTTATGTCCTAGAAGTGTTGTGAATAATGTAATGTCAAGTAAAACCAAACCAGTTGCCACCCTTTTTCACATAAAAGGTGGCAACCCTACAGATGAATATTATCTCTTTTATCTCTGATTGTACAGGTTAGTACCACCCCCGCCTAATTTTCGGCCAGGAACAACCCTGGTCTGCTCAAGGCCTCTTTTGCTCGAGGTCTTCCTCATCCTATTTGAGGATCTAAAGACAGGGTGTTGTGTGCTGAATGGATTGTTAAGACCCCTGAGGTTTGTGATATTGTGCTATATAAATGCAATTTGACTTGGCTGTAACCAGGCTGTCTGTCCTGACTGGATCAGATGCAGCCTGGTTACAGCCTAGACAAACAAACTGAAAGCTCAGTGTGGCCTTCACACCCTGCAAGTGTTCTGACAGAACGCTAAGTCAGTGGTGTTATAGACTGTCATCACTAATCTTGCTGACACCACACAGGGTTTGTGTGTTTGTCTGAGTGAGAGTGTGAACAGGCAAAAAACAGTGTGGGAGCGTACAAAGCATTGTCTGTGGGAGAGACCACATGTCTGCAGTTTAGATGTGAGAAACTCAGATTGACAGGGGTGTGTGTGTGTGTTTGTGTTTGTGGCGCACACACCCGCCTGTTTGTGTATTTGTGGGTGCATATGTGAGTAAATCTAATCTGTGTGTGTGTGCGTTTGTGTGTGTGTGTAATGTGGTGGGCAGGCTGTGCTTCAGATTAGTGAGGAGAAAATAGGCCAACATCTGTCACCCTGACAAAAGCCCATCATCCAGCCTCTCACAGTTTCTTTCTCCCTGAGTCTGTTGGTGTTTGTTTTCCTGCACTCACTCTCATTCTCTCACCACTGAATTAATACAACACAAAATCATGATGAACATTATCTAAAAAAATGAGGGAATAACACAAAAATAACAAATTTATTTTTAAACAACTACAGTCAGGGAGGGGGGTTGATACCACAAAATTTCTTTTCAGAGAGCAGTGTCATGATTTATGAAGTATATGCATCATCAATTGGCAAAATCTTAATTCATTTTAATGAACACTAAATGATTTGCCAGAGGTCTGCAATCATTTTCAGAATGGTAGAATTTATACCTGCTAATGTGAGACCTGGGTTTGATTCCCAACTGAAGCATGTGTGTAGCAAGTGAAGCAGAACAAAACGTGGCTTCATTCATTCATGTAGCACTTTGTGAAAAAGTGATAAATGGATGACAATACTCCTCTTTTGTGGAGGCATTACTGCATTTATGTTTTTAAAGTTATTTCTGGGCTATCATTTTTAATGAGATGGGGACAGTGAGAGAGAGGCAGGAGAGCCTGGAGCAAAACGTCACGGGCTGGATTCGAACATGGCCCGCTGTGGTAAGGACGGTAAGGATGAGCCACTCAGGCAGTCCATTGTTGTCTTTATTTGCCAGGATGGGTGCTCTTATTTGTGTTAACGACAACATAACATTATTTGCAAAGACAGTTCTACTCTAAAATGATTCCAAGAGAGAAACTGAAACTGGTATCAATCGTATTGACGCTAGAAACGATCTTCAAAAAAGATACGTAGTATCAAAAGTATCAATATTTTGGGATAGATCCCCCCACCCCTAAAAGAGACCAGTTCGACCTGTGACCTGAGGTTAGCTGAGCGACTTGGAGCAGAGAAAGACTGCCTGTATAGTCACTAGTATCCATTAGATGAGATGCACTCTCAGATTGACTCATTATTTCTTGTTTAGATACGTACAAATAAAAAGTGATTGGAGTGATCATCTCCAATCACATCAAACCACATATGGAGAACAATGTCCCTTACCTCTTGTTCAGGATGTAACAGAGGGAATTAAAAGCATATCACCAAACAAACACATTTCCCTTGAATGTGGTCCTGCAGCCTCACTGTCATGAGAACTGAACCATGTAACAGAATCCTGGTCCCGATCTCTTCTCTTCATGTTTCAGGTGTCCGTGGCTTTCGGAGCGTTTCTCTGTAGCTGTGCCCATTTACAATGGCATCATCTTCTTGTTTGTTTTGGCTAACTTCTGTATGGCCACATTCATGGACCCTGGCATCTTCCCCAGAGGTGAGTGCATGGATGGTTGGATGTACTGAACATTTGTGATGAGCACTCTCTCATTTGGCAGGAGCTTCAGTGTTGTCCCTCACTAGTGAGTCACCAAATGAATAAATGTAAATATATCAAACCGGTCACTGGATACTGTCTGCAGTTTGTTTATATTGCTGTAAGTGTCAAATGTTTAGTTTTCCTTTTAGCTTTATTTATAAAGTCTAAATTTCTTGCTTATCTGCCTGTTGTAGCTTAAAATATCTTTATTCCATTTGAATAACCAGAAAACATGTTTCAAACATCAGGAAGAAGGAGTTAACAATTCAGAATTTGATTTAATTTTAAATGTAACCAGAGCTCACATTAACTGATCCAGAACATCGGCTAATTGACAGACTGATTGATCAGAGGAGTAATTTATAGATCTCAGATGAAAATCAAGTGTTTAACCTTGTTAACATCCATATGATCGTTTTTATATAATACAAAATGTATGGTGAGTGAAATAATCATCAACACCATGACTAAGTGTTTCCACCTTGAACTGCAGTGAACCAATGACAGTCTCATAGAAACAGATTCAGACAGCCAGGGTTTCATACGTCACAAACCTAAGGAACCAATCCTGTCAACTTGTGGGGGCAGGGCTAAATAAACCTGAAACCTTGTCAGTACAGAGAGCGAGAGTTAGCATTAGCACAACCGTTTACACTGTGTCAGCCACTGCCAGTTAACAAACAACATTAACAAATAAAGATGCTAACTACGCGAAACCGATCTGATACATTTGCTGGTCTCTGGTTCTGGTCTCAACGGACTCTTCATCTGAGTTTGGGTAACGAACATGTGAAGAATGAAGGGGTCTGAATTCTCTGTGTTTATTATGGCCAGTGTTAGGATTGTGTGTGGTCGCGTGACTGTGTGCATCTTCTGTCTCCGTCTCTGCAGCCGAGGAAGACGAGGACAAGGAGGACGACTTCCGTGCTCCTCTATACAAGACAGTGGAGATCAGAGGGATCCAGGTCAGGATGAAGTGGTGCTCCACCTGCCGTTTCTACAGGCCGCCGCGGTGCTCCCACTGCTCTGTCTGTGACAACTGTGTGGAGGTATGCTCACACTCATCGGTGGACTTTTTCCATAAGATCAGTTGGACATTAGTCATGTACACAGTATGACTGCATTATAACTTCCAAAGCCAGTCCACTTCATCCCCACAATGGACAAAATGCTGTAGGTAAAATACAATCAGCACTTTAGATGCATTAATAGACAAATAGACTTTGTTTCTTCCCATAAGTGCATTGGGTTAATGATCAGGCTGGGTGTAGCTGATACTAGATACTGCCTTGATTGGCCTCTAAAAGTCTTTCAGATCGGCTTGAGACCAGATGATCTACCATGAACATATAAAAACAAAACAACAAACAAAAGGTTTTCTTCACTCTTAACCTCATTATGCTGATATTAACATTCAGAATTTGACAGTCTGTCACAGTGGATATAATGTCTACTTTTACTGTTGCAAATTTGCAGGATTATGTAGTCAAAAGTGCAGTTTGACTTTGGGAAAGTCCACACTACATTCAGGGATGAGCACGGAAACCACGTATTAAACAGGCCCCAGGGCTACATGTTTAAAGACCATAGTATCAATGAGCTCCAACGTTATCATTCTGCTCTCGATACTGGAGAAATGAAGAAAAAAGATTCCCTGTTTCGTACTGCAACATAAAGGTTCTCTCACACATTCTGATCTGATCGAGACATTCGTCCATGGTGCATTTTCACTGTTCCCAACCAAGTGGCAACCCACCGTGACGTCACCCATTGGTCTGTGAACTGCAATTTTGAAGCCAGGAGTTTGCGTTTTGGCCATCGCCATTTTGGTTTTTTTTTTTTTTTTTTTTTTTTTAAACCGGAAGAAACCATATTTGAAGGAGAGGGTGGAGCTGGGGAGGAGTGAGGGGTGGATCTGACCAGGTCTGACCCCGAGAACAGAGGACATTATGTACGCCTGCCTACACCGGCTACCTGACCGCAACAGGCTCCTGGATACGTGGTACAAAGTCGCTGCTAACTCAGTTAGCATTCATAATTCGAGGTAAACTTTATATCTTAGTGTTAAAATAATCTTAGTAGCTAATTGCATACATGTCCACATTTGGTAAATATCACATATATGAGGAGAAACCTTGTTTACTGTAGTTAGAAGTTACTGTGTGTAAGCTAACTGTGTGGTGTAACCGCTTGTATTAAAACCATAGACCAAGGCCTGTTATAACGTGTTTTAAAATTAGTTCTGTAAAGCTAAGGTTACGTTACTGACAGTAACAGCGGGTTGTCAGTGTTAAGTTACAGTTACTAAATGATAATGTTATTACAGTTAAATGTTGTGTCTGGACGTGCTGTTAAAGAGCCAGCAGATCAGCTGATGTGCGTGTTTTGTTTTTCAATAAGTTTGGTTCAGTGTTAGTCGGCTATTTTTTAGCTCTAGTTCATTTGATTATTGATGACAGGAGTCAAAACATCTGTTGGAATGATTCTGTCTCTGTTTCAGAATAAAGAACATCACTGGGAGCTGAGAACCATCATGATATGTGCACCTGCACAATGACACCAAACTGAGTATTACTTTCTATTCTATTGTTATTTCATGTAAAACGGTTCAGCAGACTGTTTATTACAACTAAGCTGATGGAATAATGTATTTTCAGATATATATGATCATCTAATCAGAGTGCTGTTTCTTTTGTCTTTTTCTCTATACTCTACAATATGACATTGATATGATTTCTAATATGTTTTTTTCCATCCAGCCAAGGTCTGGATCTTTTGGGACACTTACAACCTCTTGCAGCAATGATGGAGGCCCTGCACCACCTCCACCTGCAGTGTCCACACATGAAGATCTTCTCTTCCCAAACATAGACACAGTGTCTTATATGATAATATAGTATTTTTTAATGTAACACTTGTGGCCATTACATTGTTCGGTCTTATCAGCTATGCTATTCCTTGTTCTCTACACCCTCACACATACAATCAGATGACTTTTGGACTCCACTGTAGCTGTAACAAATTGTCAATAGTTTAAAACATTAGAGTTCATATTTCATAGTCCTCAGCCATTATAGTAAATATCAGTGTGCTGTTCCAACAGCATCACTTATTTAGAGGGTGATTGTTACTGGAGCAAATAAATATTAACTGTCTCACACATTAGGACTCATGATGAAAAATGATTATACTTGTTATTAAAAATTCTGTTGCACTGTTGATTCAACTACCTCTTTTTATTAAGCAAACTTACATATGACAGTGAAATTCAGCTTTAACTTCATCCACAACTGTATTTTTAATTTTTTTTTATTTTAAATAATTTGTTGACTATAAATTGTAAACTACAGTTTTTAATTAATCAATTTATTACATTCTTTTATACATGTTTCCAGTGTTGTAAATTGTTTTAATTAATGTAGTTTATAATGTCCAATAAAGTTATTTATGAATCTCTTTAACTTTGTTGATGGTTTTTATAGAACACATCTGGTATGAATTTTCACAATAGTAACACATACAGCACTGTGTGACTATTTCTATGTTAGCTTTAATCAACAACATAAATACTAGAAATGTTTAAATGTTGCTGTCCAACAACACTGACAATGAAGGATCAAAAAACATGCTGTTAATTGGTAAATACTCTCACCTGTGGAGGTGGTGACAGTGCTAGAGTTGATCCATCACTTAGTCATCATTCTTAAAAGTGTTGCTACCATCGCCTGTCAACAACAGCAGAAATGAAGTTGCAGATAAGAAACTGAACCTGTGAATACTAAAGACAGAGAATAATCAACAATTAGTCTGCAATATCATTAGAGGAAGCTGAACTGGGAGTGGTTTCCTAGCATCATCATCATCACAGCCCATTTGAGAACTAAGGATGTCCATGCAGTCTCTCTTCTCCACAACCAGATGAATGGAAAAAAATGGGCTGCTCTGAGGTCCTCCTTCTGTTGGCACAGATCACTCAGTTTTCACAGTGTGGAAACCTTTCAAATGACAAAAAAGGACAAACACTTGAGTTAAGATGTGGTGGATCACAGTTAATCAAAAACATCTATCAGCTGTCAGGATAGGTGCATGAATATCTGCTTCAGTTGAGGACTGGTTTGAGTATTAAAAGAACAATCTTATATATGACATTTTTCTACACATTTTGTATAAGTCACGTTATCTTAACTTGAACTATCACAACATCTCGATGGACAATGTATTAACTAACATTAAAGCTGCGCATTACACTAACGCAGATCACTTAAACTGGGTCACATGTGGAGAAACACAAACCAAACGTCATTAGATTAACATCGATTAAATGTACCTTTTTATTGCTTTGACTGAACACCTCCATGGGCTAACCCAGGTTGACACAAGTTATCAGCCCAGCGGGGCCATGTACCGTTAGCATAGCAATCGCTAAATTATCAGCTAACGCTAGCACTAGCTGGCTAGCTTGGTTAGCAAGGTTCATCTACACCTGAACTGTGATATTAACAGGGATGCTAATTTTGGCTAGAAAGAAAAATGCTTACTTTTGTACTTACCGGAAAAAATTGAACCGCCGACTCCTCTGAGTGTCTTCTAGAACAACTGAACGCCGAACAAGACATTTTCAGGCAAACAAAATGTTAGGGCTAACTTTGAACTAAAAACACAATGACAAGTCAAATGTCAGGCAGGTCCTCCTGTGTGTCAATCACGCGGTAGCCACGCCCTAAAACCACTCTGCCTTAACGTCTATTTTCTTTTAAATAGGACTATAATTTAAACAATGAACATCATGTTGTATGAAAGAAAACTTCAAACTAGCTTTTCTGACCATAAACACATAATGAATAAATCAAGTGACAAGTAGGGTCATTTTCCCATAGACTTTAATACAATCAGACTTCTTTTTGCAACCAGTGGTGTCGAATGCAAGTTTAAAGCACTTCCGCATTGGCTTCATTTTCCAGACCTGGAGTCGACGTCCATTTTTATACACAATCTATGTTCCCAACACAGAAGATGAGAGACCTCTCTCTCTCATTCTCTCTATCTCTCTCTCCTCATCTCTGGAGCCCACACATAGAGTTAACTAAATTATAATAAATAGATAAATAAATTTAGCTGGTGAACAACTGCACAGTAAAAATACCGTCAAAGAAAAAGTTCTGTAGTAAATCACTGTGTATTACATTTGTTTTACCAGTATTGATAAAAGTAGTAGTAGTACTGTTAAAATCTTAAAGATTCCCATCCCTAACTGCATCAGCATGTTATGACGACATGATAATTCAAGTTTGTGGTGAATCTCACAACTGAGGACAGATTTAAGTTTCAAGTGAATGAACTACCCACATTATTCCAGTCCCCAAGTCACCAAATTTAGTTCAGCTTGGTGCAGCTGTGAACTTCGGTTTGTTACTTCTTCAGGAAGAAAATTAAGAAAAGATCGTATTCAACTATTTAAGGTGTGATTTAAGATTGTGTTCCCATATCATTTATTTGCCAAGAAGGGGAGACACTTGTTGCACACTGCATACAGGTGTAGTTGAATGCAATCTTTTCTTTATTTTCTTCCTGAAGAAGTAAAAAACTGAAGTTCACAGCTGCACCAAGCTGAAACTTAATTTATGTGTGTTGAACGTAAATGTAAAACGAATAGGGATTATTTCTGTCAGCGACGCTACAGCTTCCATCTCCTATATCAAAAGCAGTTTACATGGGTCTGTGTCTGCCTTCAGGCAGTTGGTTGTGTCCCACGTCCTTAAACAAAACCCACCTGACATAATTTCTGGGCTGGGTGGAGCGTAACACAGCAGAAAGAAGGAGGGAGGAGCAGAGAGGTTTGCTCTTCTACTCTCATGCTAGCACTAGTTTGTTTTCCTGAACTTGTATATGTCAACCATCAAATCAAATCATTGTTTATTCTTGTGTAATGTAAATGTAAGTTGCAGCTTCTGAACCAGGAAGTAAGGAACAACACAACACTTGATAACCGTATCCATGTCTCACCACAGTGTCTTCTAACCATATGCAGGACTTCGACCACCACTGTCCATGGGTGAACAACTGCATTGGCAGGAGGAACTACCGCTATTTCTTCCTCTTCCTGCTGTCTCTGACAGCTCATATCATGGCTGTGTTCGGCTTCGGCCTGCTCTTCATCCTCTACCACCGGCAGAACATTGACCGCCTGCACGCCATTGTCACGTATCCTTTAAGGATCTTTCCCATTTATTTTTGTCCTGCTGATACTGTCCAGTTACGGTGTTTACCACCTCTGCAATGACTGACGTTCATCCTCTGCTTCAACAAGTGAAAATGTTTGTGTTCTGTTTGTATCAGGTGTCCTGAGGATTTATTTCCATGTGGTGTGGGAGGATTTTACTCCCACAGTCAGAGAGAAGTATTGAAAGTTGACTTTTCTCTGACTTAAGGAATTGTTAACTGGGTTAAAGACGCTGAAGTCAGGAAACAAGCGCAGAGGGAGAGAAGTCCAACTGTGGACATGAAAGGTTGGGTGGCATCAAGTCGTAATTTTCTTGATGACCCCCAGGCCGAGCTGTCCATTTCTACACAATGAATATAAAAGTCTAACGGAGTAGTACTTTCTATGGGCCATCTTCTGTCTGCTGAATCTGGTCTCTGAAGATATTCCTTGACCCTTGTGCTCTCAGCCTGGCTGTCATGTGTGTTGCAGGCCTGTTCTTCATCCCTGTTGCCGGCCTTACTGGTTTCCACATAGTGCTGGTGGCCAGAGGCAGGACTACCAATGAACAGGTAGTGTTTCAGTATGTGTGCACCAGGGACAGGTAGACTTATCACTGAGTCCCAAAGATCCTGCAGTTAAAATATGAAAGTGTACAGTAGGAAATCTTATAAATGTCAACAAGATTTCAGTATTGGTAACATTATTTAGAACATGTTTATAGTAAACGTCCTTTGATTATTTTAATTTGTACGTCCTGGAAAGTTGTGACATGTTAACAACCTTCATATTTCCCTCTCATTGTTTGAATGAATGTTTCTTACTGCTCATTTTTCTGTGTAACTGTGTGTGTGTCTCTCTCTCTTTCTATCTCAAGGTAACGGGGAAGTTCAGAGGAGGTGTGAACCCTTTCACCAATGGCTGTTGGAAGAATGTCTCTCACGTTCTCTGCAGTTCGCAGGCTCCCAGGTGCATTTTTTATTTACCCACTTCTTTCTGGTGGCCTGTTCATGAGCATTACGTAGTCTGACAGATGCGTGTCTCCATAAATGACCCATGAGAAATTTTCTAATGCACAACAACTAAAATACATGAGACATAAAACATCCAAAGAGTGAGGGCTGGGAGTATCTGCAACGATTTAAAACTCAAAACCAAGTTCTACTTTAATGCTGTTGACCTGGATGTTTGAGCTTCACTGTGCAGTTTGACACTAGAGATGATTTATACACTTACACAAGTGTGACGAGGGTTTAGAGATGAAAAGATATGAAAATTTAATATCACCATTATAGTGACCAAAATTATCGACGTTAAGATGTGCTGAAAATGTTCAAAAGGTAAAAACATACAACCTGAAATCATTTGAATAATTGCATTTAAACATTAAAATAATAACATGTCCAACACATCTGTGTGACAGATGAGGACAAGCAGTACGGGGTTTGCCTGCAGCATGCCCACACCGTAAACAACGGGATAGCACATGTGTTGTTATTATTATTATTTATTTATTTATTTTCCAAGATGTAACATCTTTCAGACACTGTAAACACACCTGTCACCTGTCCAGCACAGTACTGTTAAAGCAGAAACCCAGCGGCTACACTCTGTTTAGGGATGAAAGAGTGAAGCTGCAGCCCTGAAATAAGTTTTAAAAACCCACAATCACCAATTGAAGCATCTCACATGGCGGCTCCGACACTGACAGGATCTCCAACCCAGTTTTAACCAGTTTGCATGGCGGCTAGCTTTTTAGCTAGCTTTAGTTTTAGAAGCTGTAAAATCTCTGTAGCAGCGCTGTCTCTGCCATCCACCATTACTGACACTAAACAAACCCACGTTTTTTGCTGTGCATGCATCTGGGAGACTGTTGCTTGTTGATGCCGTACAGAACCTAAAGTGAGTTAAATTAACCACACTTATTAACCATGGTAATAAACAGTTATAGTGATAATTAAAATTTTAACAGTATTACTAACCAGCATTTCTACCATGAAACTAGTAACTGTTTCATCTCTTCGTGGGAACCTAAAGCTTCAAGTGCTTCAGTCAGGAGGCGATGTCATGAATCTATCATTAAACTTTTAATGAACAATAGTTGTGTATTCATATCCTATGAATTTTCAAAGAAGGAGAAAGAATTTTGACTTTTTGTGGAAACCACTTATTAGACACTTTGCGTATTTTTCCAAGCAGAGCATTTGCTCGTTTTGAACCATGTATGCAGGAGTATGTGATAGCTGCATATTCCAGTGCTCATTTAGAGTTTCACTGTGTCATATTAAAGCTTGTACTTGTGGCGTAGGTGTTGCTCATGATGTGTGCACTCACTGTCTTGGCTCTCTGTAGGTATCTGGGCAGGAAGAAGTGTGTGCAGAGTGTGTGTGTGCAGCCGCCTTTTCTGCGGCCACAGCTGACAGAGGCCCAGCTGGCTGCAAAGATCCTGGACAACGGCATCCAGGGAGACCTGCACCTGGTAAGGACGGCAGGACGGGAGTTCATAGGGACTTCACTGCCCTGTTATTATCATCCTGTTTCATTTAAACACCGGTTTTCTGGCCTGCTGGTAAACAAATGTCAGGTTATGTGCTTCTCATTCAAATCTGCACTAGTTTACATAAGTTTGCATAAACGCAGGTCCATCTGGCATCAAGAAGAAATCTTTATTGACCCCCACAGGGACATTGCTTTGTTTCAATTGTTCAACACACAATTTTTTATAAAGTAAATAAGTATAAAAGTAAAAACTATTGTAAAATGGTAATAATAATGATAAATATACAGTAAGTGAATAGAAAAATGTAAAAATGCAAATGTTTCATCATGGTCTGTTGAATGTAGGTGAGCTCACTTCTACTTCACCTGTAGATCATCTGTAGTTGAAACCTTATGAGTTATGTCCAAACAAAATATAACTAGTCTGTTATTGTTCACATGCAGGTAGCTCAGATATAACAACAGAGAGAGCAGGAGGAGTAAAGAAGCATCATATACTGTGTGTATTCCTAGCTCTGATTGAAACTATGAGGCCAAAGACACTTTGTGTGTGTGTGTGTGTGTGTGTGTGTGTGTGTGTGTGTGTGTGTGTGTGTGTGTGTGTGTGTGTGAGTGTGTGAGTGAGTGAGTGAGTGAGTGAGTGAGTGAGTGAGTGAGTGAGTGAGTGAGTGAGTGAGTGAGTGAACTGTATGTGCATGTGTGTGTGTGAGAGAGAAAGAGAGCGAGTGGGGCACGGAGGGGTTGAGTGAATCAATGCGCTGTGCACAGTTCAACTGTGAAAGCAGGATTTATCCACTTGAAACAGTAAAATATTTTCCGTTCATTATAAACTGTGTCGGGACTAATCAGACTGTGACAGAGGAGGTCAGTAGAGTAGTTGGTCCTTCAGTGTGGTCCTGGACACATTCACATTCACACTGCTAAAAGAATGTGGTCTCATGTGGTCCAGACCACCTCTGAATGTGGTCTGAGGCCCTGTTCAGACCTGGTATTAAAGGGAACCTATTATGCTTTTCTGAGTTTTTCCTTACTTATAGTGTGTTATATAGGTTTTTGTGGATGTAAATGGTCTCCAGAGTCCCAAGGATCAAAGTTTACATAAAAGGGAGGAACTCTGTCAGGGTAAAAACCAAATTTTCTCCTTTGTATGAAACGCTTCGTTGGGGTCCAGACATTACTCCCTGGTCCTATTGACGTCAATATTTCTCTTGGTGCTGCCCACCTGCAAAATGAAACACCCCCACACAAGGCACAGCACATAAGTACTTATAATGAAGAGTTTTCTTTAGTTTTGTAGACTCAGCCTCACAGCCTATCAGTCTGCATTGTTATTGTGGATGTTAACCACGTTACTGCGACCCGATTATGACCTGATCATATTAGTTAGAAGCAGCATAGCAAAGATATAAATGCTTAAACGTTTGTCAGTGTTGACATGCTGTACCTCGTAAGCTCAGATAAATTATCCACAGTTTAACCGCTGAGTTCATTTTTTAGTAACTATGCGCATTAACGTTAAATTCATTCAGATTTACCAGCAGCAGGTGAAACGGTGGAGACTCCCTACCTGTCGACCGTCTGTCTGTTCCTCCATTTTTATATTTATTTTGTCTGGAAGTGTCTACACATAAAAAAGGGGTTTCTTATAAAAATATTCCAAGTTATGAATAATGTCATCCGAAGTTTGTTTACACAAGACGTGCAGAACGTGTCGTTGCCATGGTAGTTGCCGGCAAGCTGATCAATCAGAGCACATCGGGCTCCAGCTCCAGAGGGAGGAGGGGGGCCTTAGAGAGCCCTGAGCTCTAACAGAGCGTTTCAGACAGAGGGTGAAGAGAGTACAATATAAAATGTACAGAAGAAGAGAAATAATGTCTTTTCACAACATTAAAGCATGTAAATTTTGAATGAAATGATGCGTACTAAGAATGGCCATAATTGGTGCTCTTTAACATCCATCTCAGGTGATCCGATCACAAGTGGTCAGCTCTAAGTTCAGGTCTAAACAGGACCAGAGTCACGAGGGGTGTGGCTGCAGTAGGATAACACAGAGTCAGCAGACCTCAAACCTTTTAACACAATATGCATAAATGCATAAAAGTTACACAATGCATTTCTCCAGAGGTAATGGAGTATAGTTCTACATAACTTCTGCACAATTGAGAGTAAAAAAGATGCAGCATTAAAACCAGGTTTTTCTGTGACCAGTCTCTACACACAAAGACCAGTCTTACAATGTGTTCATGTTTCAGTCAACTGAACAAGATCCTCATCTGCGTGTTGTCTCCTCTTTCCAGTCCAGGTCCAGTCTGGAGATGATGGAGAGCCAGTCATGTGATGCCGAGCCTCCGCCTCCCCCTAAACCCGAGCTCCGCTACCCTGGAATCACCAGAGGAAACACGGAGGGTAAAACCTTCCACCCTCCTGCTCCAGTTCTGACTTTTATCTGCTCCTCAACTTTCTCAGCTTCTTGCTGTGAAAACTAAACTCTGATTTTACTGTGATGATTTTTATTTTTTCTCCTGCAGAGTGTAGTCTACTGAACAAAGCCCCTCCCACCCCCACCATGTACAAATACAGGCCCACCTACAGCCCTGGCAAGAACCACACAGCGCTCACACATGCTTACGCCAACCAGGTACACGCACACACACACACACACACACACACACACACACACACAGAGGAGAGTCTCGTCAGGGTCGAGGTGTGTGTGTGTTTGTGAGCAGAGAAGCTTTTTTTTTCCATTTGTCTTCATTTCTTTTATCTGTTTGATTTCGATCTAATGCATCTCCATTTTTGTTTTTCCTTCTTGATTTCCTGTCGGCCATCTTGGTTTGGTTTCTCAGTGGCTTTCTGTTGATCAGTATCAGTAAGTGATTGTTCTGAAAGCATTTCTCCCTCTTATCTTCACTTTAACTTTGTTTCCTGGTCCTTTCTGTTTGTTCTGGACATGGGTGAAACACTGTTTGGAATGATTAATAACTGACTTATCAACTACAACATTAAAACCAGCTGCTTTTTTTAAATGAACAAATTGTACCTGAACACATCTAGACTGGTACAAAGAAGTTGGTTGTGCTCAGTATTTGTACCCATGTCTGGTTCACACCCTCCCTCCTGTCAATCTGTATAAATATGGTTATGATTCTGTTTCTCTTCTCCTCAGTCTGTTGTTCAAACTTACATCTCATCTTTAGTTCCCTGTTTGTTCTCTACCTGTAGGGAACTGTTCCCCTGTAGCTCAGATACTATTATCAAAAGCTCTGTTTTACTGTCCATTCGCAGTTTTCCCATTTTCCAGTTATATCCCACAAGCACCTTTTAAACTCTGATTTTGATGTTTCACACTGTGGTCACATGATCTGGTCTTATATGGAGAAAATACTACCTGATGCCTCACACAGAAGGCAGTCATTCACAGCACACAATAAACTGTCAGAATACAGAGGAATCCAACAGAGTGCTGCAGGAATGAGTTCCTTTGGTTCCCCTGTCCTGAAGTCTGGGTTTTTGGTTAGATGACTGAAATAAGTGCGATAAGTTTTACAATTGCTACATAGCTAATGTTAGCATTAGCACCTATTTACTTCACTCTACAAGAAACGTTGTACAGCATCAAACCTCATTCCTGTTCTCACCAACAGCTGTCTTCAGAGGTGGAAAGCACTACCAATGTACTGAAGTTAGCATGCTAACTGGCTAGCCCTGGAGTGTTCTGTCACTTTCCGATAGCGACTCACATTACCCTCCAATCATTCCACCTTTACAGCCTTGTTAACTCACCAGTCCACCTTTACAGCCTCGTTATGATGATAGAAACTGTCAGTAACTCTGTCAGAGAAAAGGCTTTTGTAGAAGAGGTCAGAGCTAAATCAAACTACATACTGAAGTTTAGTGGTGGTGTCGTTGAAGTCATTTTATATTACCAAATGTATTTGATGCACAGTTGGTTAGCTCTAATGTCATTTACAGTTTAATCTACAACTGTTCTTCAGGCTTTATTACAATTTACAATTTAGGGTTCTGTTGCTTCTGTAGTGACTTTGAAACCCTCACAGCAGCATTACACTAGAAACTGTTGGCATCATGTTGAATATGGAGAAAGAAAGAATGGATATTCTTGTGTATTTGATGTGAAGACAAGCTTTCAGTCAGAGGACAGCAGGACATTAAGTTTGAATTGTTTGTGATGCTGTTGGTATTTGTGGTATGTTGTCACATCATGATGAATCGATCCTGAGAGAAAATGTCTGGCGGCAGAAACCTTGGATTCATGATTAAACACTGTTTGAGCTCGGCCATCTTACACTGTGATGTTCCCAAAGTAAACACACTGAGTACCGACCTGTCAAGAGAAAAGTTCCTGTCTGGCAAAGAAACGTTGCCACAGTAACGGTTGAGGTGCTGTGTCAGGATGTGAACACTAGAGGGAGTTTTAGTGCAGCAGGAATTCACAGAATTGTTTAAACCTCCCACAGACGTCTCTGTTCTTATTTACTCAGCTTCTTGTTGTTTCTTTTCCCTCCTTCATCCTCCCTCCTCTCTCTCCTCCACCTCCTGCCTCCTCCAGTTAAGTCGAGGAGAGAGCGTTGGCAGTGCCAGGGACTCCTCCTCCTCCACCTCCTCTCTCCTCCAGGCCAGCCAGCAGCCTGGTTTCCGCTCTCAGCCCAGCCTGGACCGGAGGGACGCTGTGTCTGACAGAGCAGGAGGAGGTGGGGAGAGGAGGGAGGGGGGGAGAGAGGCAGGAGGAGGGGGCATCCCTGGCTACTCCCTTGGCGGGCGCTCGTACCCCTCCTTCTCCGACCCCACCGTCCTATCGGGAGTGGCGTCACGATCTTCCAGCTCCACACACACTTCAGCAGGCGCCGCCCACATCTCTGAGGCAACCACCACCTCAGCTAGCTTCAAGAGCTTAGCCAATCAGACACCCCCGCCTCACCACACGTCTCGCAACGGGAGCCTGTCATATGACAGCCTCCTGGCTGGTGGTGATGATTTTGACAAGGGGGTGGCAGTGGGTTCAGCAGCCCCTGAGGTTTCCTCTGGGAGACCCTGTACACCGGCGGCAGGCGGCTACAGCTCCCCCTTTATGTCTTCACAACAGAGAGATGCTGAGCTGCACTCCCAGTCCTCCCAGTCACCCCATCACCACCACCGCTCCGCCCACCACCACCACCCCTTCCTCCATCGCTCGTCCTCCTCCACATCCTCCTCCCCACCTCCTCCTCCAGAGAGGGAGCGCCTGCTGGGCGAGCCCCACCCTGGTGCTCACCCCCCACCTGCCAATCAGGCCTCTGCTCTGCCCTCCTCCTCAGCCCCGCCTCCCCCACACCATCACCACCACCATCATCACCATCACCACCACTCCCATCATCACCACCACCACTCCTCCTCCTCTTCCTCCACCTCCCGCCCTCCCCGTTTCACTGCCCCTCACGCACCGACCCACCACGCCTACCCCTACCGCACCCGCTCCACTGACACCCCTCTGGGCGCCACCTCCACCACCCACCCTCCCCGCTCCCCACACCCCCCACCCTTGGGCAAGTCGCTCTCATACTCGAGTGCCGCTGCTGCTGAGATGCAGTACCGGCTGGTCCGAAAGGCCTCTGCGTCAGCCGGAGCCAACGCAGCGGGAGTTGGAGGAGGAGGAGGGATGGGGGGAGGAGGAGGAGGTGGAGGAGGACTACAAGCACCGAAGTGAGTATGAGTTTCGCCTTTTGTCAGGACGATTGGTTTGCTGCTAACCCTGAAAAAATCACCCGCCCGCCTGAAAACCTGACTACCTGATTGACTGCTCCTCCTCCTCTTCCCTTCTCTCTTCCTCCTCCTCCTGCCAGATTTCCTGTGAGTTCCTCCTTCTTCTCCCTTTGCTCATCTTCATTCATCTGTGAGGTTTCTCTGTGACATGTGTGATGTGTTCTGCCTGTTTGCTCTCATCTTCTGCATCATCACCACCTTCTGTTTAAAGTTCTGTAGCAGTGACTTCAGTCTCAACCTGAGAATCTGCATCTGAACAAACAGCAGCAACAAGAGAGAGAAAGGAATGTTTCCACATTCAGCTTTAGAACAGAATCAGTTCTACATTCAGATGTACAGAAACATTAACACTAATGAGTGAAACACTGAAAATGCTATTAGAGAAAGTGTGAGCACATGGAGCTCCATGTGTGTGTTGACAGGACTGACGCAGCAGCAGGTAGACGTCACATTAGTTTTCCTTTTCTGCATGACAGCAGTGAGACACTGTTTTACGTCGTCTCTTGTGTCTGTTTCCATCCTGCTCTCTGTTTGCCCACAGCTGCATGGGTTTAGTTCTTCACCACAGAAACCTCAGTGTGTGTCTTCATTGTGACCTGAATGAAATGGACTGTGTAATGACGTTTACAGATAAACCAACTGTTAAGTGAAAATGACAGTAGTGGCCCCTTTGGGTCTGTGATTTTCACTTCTCAGTCTCTACTTCAGCACAAACTCATTTTGTTGTCGTCACTGTGGTTTTCCCTGAAACAAAATAATGGACTAAACATGTCTGTAATGACCTTTTGACCTTTTAGTCTTTCATTTTTTAATTTCTCTCTTAAATCCACACAGTCAAAAAAGCAGTTAGTAGTTAAAGTGTACGTACACTGAAACAGACTCACCAGTTTGGTTCAGTGAAAAGTTTCCTCAGTGTTTTTTGATGGTAGAAAAGTGGATTTGAAGAGTTAGACCATCATTAAATTCATCCAGTCACCTGATCAGAGAGTTAAAAACACTTCCTACTGTTTTCCATCATGACCATCCCAGACTTTTACATTTACCTTCATGAATCCTGTAGAAACCCGGCTGCCTTTCATTATTCATGTTATGATGATGATGATGCAGGGTGACATCACCAAAACTGTCCAATCAATGAGCAGGCGGTCAGAGGTGTGAATATGTCTGATTGTTGAACGTCACGTGTGAAAGCAGCGGAGGTGGAGTAGGAGTGAAGCATTTGTTGCTTCCTGTGCTGAACCGCCGCTGATCGTTTCTTCTTTGTGTTTTTTCCTCACACCAGGGATGAGCTGATCCAGATGAAACCTCTGAGTCGGACCAACGGTGGCCAGCCCTTCTCCTCCCCCTCCTCCTCCTGTTCTGCCCCTTCCTCCCCCTCCCACCCAGTCAGCGTGTCTGCCCGGCCCGGATTGGCCTACCCCGGCTCAGCATTGATGCAGAGCCCCGCCCACAAGCCCCAGGTTGGCGGGGTGAAGAAGGTGACAGGCGTCGGGGGCACCACCTATGAGATTTCAGTCTGAGTGGCAGTCCCGCCTCCAGCTCGGGGACCAATGAGACGAAGAGGAGCTGTTGCTGTCTCTTTCATTAAACAAGAAAACACTGACACACACCTGAGGACGAGGGCAGCCATGTTGTCCAGATCTCACTCCTCATTGGCCGATTGACTGTGGGGCTGAACTGAACTTCACTGTCCTGCCTCCAGACGTCCACCTCAATAATCCTGACAGTAAGACCTGGACTGATGTGACCCAGGACTGGCCAGAACAGGAACCAAGGGGCTCATTTAATCACTGTAACTGAATAGGTAGCATGAGGCACTAGCACCATCAGGTTATGGCAGAGCAAGGCATTACCACTGCCAGGGGGTGGAGTCTGATCCCCGCTGGGGCCACCAGGAGGATCTGGATCAGGGTTTATAAAGGTTCATATCAGTACTTTTGGACTGACTCTGCATTTAGGTAAAAAAAAAAGTTATTTAACATTCACATGTAGAAATCACTGAACACACAATCCCACGATGGTTATCAATACACTGATCAGAGCCGATCACACAGTGAAGGGCTTCCCACAGACTGAGACGTATCAGACTGAGTCACAGCTGCTTCAACGCGAGCTCTGGCCCCAGGTGTTCATTCCTACTCATCAAATGGAGCGTAGTGGTGTTTCATTGGACCAAGAACACCAGTTGTGCTTGTGATGTGTGGAGCCCAGGCAGGATCCCTGTAACAGCCCATTGTCGTGGAAACGCACAACACGACGCCGCAGCAGGTGGAGAATCCGGCGGTTAGTGGGATCTGTGGATGTGTGACAATCTACCACCCGTGAACTGTTCATCAACGCTGCTGCGGGAAGTGACTTGCCTTTCGATGGAGGGAAGAAAAATGTGACAAAAAACAAAACAAAATGCTGATTCCCTCTTTCTTTGATTCCTTAGATGTGAATATGATTCCATGTTTGTACAGGATGATGTGATTTTAAATGTGGATTTCTTTTTTTAAAAACAAGAAAAATCAGTGGCGTTCATACTGGACAGCAGCATGCACTACTATTACTACTAGCCACTATAGGCCACTGTGTTTGGCTGTGGACCATGTTGTCTGTTTGAACAAACAGGAAGTGAGGAAACTAAAGTGAAGAAAGAAGAAGAAAATCATATTTTGGCCTCTTGTTGTTAATGGGTTCTTTAAAAAAAGGCAAAACTTTTTTAGAAAATTTATTCCTTGAGCAATTGCCTTGAAAATATAAGTGTTGTCATTTTTTTTCACATATTTAATTTGAAATTGTTTTATATGAATTTATATGGAATTATAGCTATTGATAAATGAAGAGTTTTTAATATTGACTCAAAAGAGGGGGCGTGTTGTCAGATTAAAGCAGCCCTCCTGATTGGTTTTGATGTTCCACAGTTGAGCCGCTGTTCTCAGAAAGAAGTTTGATTTACGACGTGTCCTGTTCTCCAAGACCACATCAGGAACAGGACTGGATCCTCTCAGACCAGACGCCTCATTTATAAGATACTGTCAATGAATATGATCTTTACCCCACGACAAAGTATTAGGGCCACTGTTTAAACAAACAAGACTTCAAGAATTAAGTGTTAATAAATAGACATTTTATGAGAAAGTATTATAATAGTAAGTCAGAATTTTATGAGAAAAGTCATGAAATGTATGAGAAAAAGTTGTAATTTGACACAAGAAAGTAATTAGGAGAATAAGTTGTTTAATTACTTGCTTGTAAAATTACAAGCTGTACAAGTTTATTTTAGAAAAGGTAAATTGACAAGCAAGTTATTACTGGATAAAGTTGTAATTTTATGAGAAAAAATCATATTACAAAAATGTCTTCATTTCTCAAATAAGGATTGTAAAATTTTAACACTTAAGTTATGAAAATAAAGTCACAGTATAAGAAAAAAATGTTCCATCTGGACAGTAAAATGTGGTTTTCTTAGACAGTTACAGGCTCATGTTTAGCATTTCTTGTCTGTCTATATTGTACAGTATGAAACATTTTAATATTTCACCTTTAAAATAACAATAACAACATTTTACCTTTATTCTTAAAACGTATCTTCCCCCCTCACAGTGGCCCTAATGCTGTCTTAAAATTGAATGTTATCTATTACTCATAGATAGTATGAGCAGGTCGAGACACAATGAGAAGAAGATGAGACAAACTTAATTTGTGGTAATTTTTTAATCAATCAAACGTCCATGGGTAACGAGCTAAAGATCAACTTTGAACATTTATACATGAGGCTCCTCGTCTGAGAAGATGTGTTAAAATAAAAGCTGCCGAAGTTTTGCTGATGTAGTGGACGTTTGCATTAAGTCTTCCTCTTACCTACTAAACATGAAATATCCATTGTTTGCTCAAGATTTCACTTTCAGTAACTCACTTCCAGCCGCTTGGGATTTTAGAAATGTTTCTGACAGCGTTTTGTTGCAACTGTTAAACTCAAATATTCACTCTGGAACTAGTGACAGTAACTGGTGCAACATGTGTAACGTCACTTTGTAATGGCTGACATAATGGGCACCAGTATAAGTCTGTTTTCTCTGGAGTTTCGCTTTTAGGTTTCCATCTTTGGCCATGTTGTCTTTGTCCAGTCTGAGGGAGGGACACAGGACCACAGTCCTCAGTGCTGGAAACAATATGAGCAGTTATGCTAAAATAAATGAAGCACACGTCATACAACCAGAGAGAGAATCCTGTGTCTGTGGTGAATGCTGTTTTTAAGAAAACGTTTCTTCCATTTCAGCTTTGTTTTTCATATTGCTGTAATTTGAGGCCAGTCCGAGGATGCACATGAAGACTTTGGGCTGTAGGTGTATGTTAGCGAGCAAAGTCTCTGCCTGTGTGTTTGGTTAAGACAGGTCTGGGAACCGATGTTAAAAGAACAGACAAATACATGTACTGTACAGCTTAATGTGTGTGTGAGTGTGTTTGTGGATGTGTGTATGTGGTGAGTGGCTGGGGGTTGATAATAAACTTTAAACAAGATGAAACGTTGTCGCTCTTTTCACTCTAACAGGACTAATCAGGTTGAAGTCATTTAACCCTGCCCCTCGTTAACATCAACATCTACCTGTGTTCTAAATGAGTCTAGAGACACTGGATAAACATAAATAAAGAATATTTTGAAGAAGTTTTCTAATATTGAAATTAGCCTCAGTCTTGAGTTTGACTTGTGTACCTGTCCACACAGGCCATGAGAATAAAACTCATGACCGAAACTACAATCACTTCCTCCTTCACTCAGACTAGTTTCAGGTTACATCCCTGTTTATCCAGAGTCATATCAAATATTAACCATATATGTGAATATATATGAAATTTTGAATAATGGCTAAAAAGTGTTTTGTGAGGTCACCACGCCCTTGACCTTTGACCGCCGAAAATCTAATAAGTTTGTCCTTGAGTCCATGTGAACATTTTTACCAAATCTGAAGAAGTTCTGTCAAGGTGTTACTGAAATATTGTGTCCACCACCAATGGACTGACAACCTGAAAACAAAATGGCTACTACTGTGACACAGAGGAAACACTGTGTCACACAACACCAGAAATATTCATACACATTCTTTTCTTAAGAATTATAAAGCCATGCGTTCACATGGTTCCACTTTATGAATCTCACTCACATCTGGACGAGCCTCATTTCCACCCCCACTATTGTCCATAAATGATGAAGACTCTCCTTTTATCCATCAGTTTGTATAAAAACACTGTGCCACAAGTGATCAGACAGACAAGAAAGACAAGAAAGAAGAAGAATTTCACTGATTGTGAAACTGATTTCAAAAACTGCCTCAGTTTACTTCAGTACAATCACTGTAATGTAAAGTCCTGTTTTACTCTGAACTTCATTTATTGGGTCTAGAGAGTCTTAATGAGGCTCCAGAGGCTCCAACACTGTGATCAGTCAATATTAAATATTAAACACTACAGTTACAATAGGGTCCTCTCACCCTTCGGTGCTCGGGCCCTAATTACAGGCAGTGGGTTTATTTTGGCACCACTCCTATACGCAAGATTGTCAGGAAATTAAAAGTTTGTGAGTTTGCTTGTGAAATATTGTCGTCTTCCACCAACTCCCGAACCTGATATGCTTTTTTTTTAATACTCCCAAACAGCAGTCCAAACAAACTGGTCCTCAGCTGTCCTGCTGGAGGGAATGTGGAGAACTTAATGTTGACCATGCTCATGTCTTCTGGACTTGTCCTTCTATCCAGTCTTTCTCTAAAATCCAGGGTTTTAATATCAATATAACATTCACACCACTCTGTCTCAGACATATGTGTTCACATGATTTATGCATCAGGCCCCTGCAGTACATCACCTCTTTGATAATGATTCTACAGTAGATTACACTGTGATCTAATAAACAGTATTTTCTCTTGAAGATAGTGCTAAAGCTGTTGAGAGGAACGTTATACTGAACTCTCTCTCTTATGTTACACTGTGCAGGAGTTTCTGTTTCTCTGGTGACTCGGTGTGACGTGGAAAAACACTAAAGGTTTCAGCAGGAGTAGTGAATGAAGGCTGCTTAGAATGTCTTCATGTGCACATTGTTTTATTGCATGAATAACAGACGTCGGACAGGAGCAAATATACATACAAGTGTTGGAGTGCAGCTCTGATGAAATGAAACCTGACAAATGAAATTAAAAATGAAAAACAGCTTCAGTAATAAAATAATGAATCAGGGATAAAACCTTAGTGTGATCAAAAAGCAAATCTAAATACAGTCTCACAGTTTAAAAGATCGAAGTCATGATTGGAAATGTTATTAAAAAAGACAAATAACAGGAATTGATGAGAGAAAATTCAAACGCCAAAATAAAAAAAAAACACCAGTGGACATTCCTGAAATGTGACGTGAAGCTGCAAACATACACCTCAGCTCTTCACTGGTTGGTCCAGTGCTCAGCCAAACGATACACAGGACGAGTGTTTAACATAATTCTGATTGGCCGACATGACTCATGAAAATGTGGAAATGCAAAGCCAGTGTGAGGGTTCCAGGATCCACGTGCACACGCAGCCACCCACACACACACAGTCTTAATTCAGTGATGTCACATCATGATGTAACTCCATCTGTCAGCACTAAGGAGATCTGACACACTCTTCACCTGATCTGAAGACAGGGTGGTGGATGATTTCTGACTGATGTATTTACAGTCTGAGTACACTCCTGGTCATTATCACTAAAATGTTAATTTGATTTATGTGGCGTTGAATGTAGACTGCATCTTTATTACCCATCATTCCTTCATGAGCAAGCACCTGGTGACGGTGGCAAAGAAGAATGATCAAAATGCTATGATGATAATAATATAATTATATAATTGTGTTACATTTCCCTCAGCAGTCTGGTTTCAGACCCATGCACAGCTCAATCTCTGCTGTTACATTAATTATTAGTTAAATTCACAATCTCATCGCCAAACTTGACAAACAAAATAAAAGAATGGAATCTCACTTAGTCTTTCATTATAGTTCACTTCATTTCATTATAGTTTCAGTAGTCAAACATTTCTGTTTTCATTCTTCCCAGGCTAAAACTGTATTAAATGTGCAGGATTTGTAATAAATTAACACATCAATGATAGCAGGGGAGGACTCAGTTTTCTTATTGACTATAAACACTTAGAGTCGACAACCATGCTAGAAGCTCCTGAACTTAGGTGCAACAGTGCTTTGAGCGAAATGCTAACATGCTAATGTTTAGTAGGTATAATGTTCACCAATTTAGTTTAGCATTTCCGTAATTTCATATTTTAATAGGCATTAAAAATAGGAATTGTAAAGAATTTATAATTGAAATACTTCAGATTTAAAAAAACAAAAACAAAACAAAACAAAAAACCGTTTATACTTTTATTTATTTATTAATAGATAAGAGAATTTGAAAAACTACTTGAAAAGGTATTCTTAAAATGGGAATAAATAACTGGATTCCCTTTTCAAGAATTCATAAATGAACAATTAAAATACTTCAGATTTAAAAATGGACAAAAGCTGCACAAAACATTCATAATATAAACCATTTATAAATACATTTATTAATGAAGGCTCTGTGATTGGTTGGAGAGCTAACCAGGGGGTTTTACCAGCACTGAAGGCCCAGAATGTCACAGGAAGGCTAAATGGAGAAGCTAAATGACTAAGCTAAACAATTAGTTAATGGGAGAAGCAGCTGGAAAAGGGAATGTTTTACCATCAAATTCTTTTTCAAATAGTTTTTCAAATTCTACTATCTATTCATGAATTCAAAGTATTTATAAATAGTTTATTTAATGAAAGTTTTATGCTGTTTTTGTAAAGCCATTTTTAAATCTTAAAATATCTATTGATGGATTAAATTAATTTATCAATTCTATAAAATATGAAATTAAGGAAATGCTTTATTACTTTTCCTGTGACATCCCTGGTCTCCCACAGCTGGGAGTGTCACTGGTTTTGTCTGGGAAAAATTAAAACTGTGACCGGAGGTGGGCGCTCTCTCGCCAGAGTTAGTAGGATACCTGGAAATTTAATAACAGCCCGTCCAACCTTCTCTGGTTCCCCAGAGCTCAAATGTCAAGGTTTGTTGTGAGTCGGGAACCAAGATCGTGGACTGACCGAAAGGAATCATGTCAGTCAACAGACTCTTTCCATTTTAACTGTTTCCAATAAAACCATGTAGAATATTTATAACTGAGATGTCTGACGCTGAGCAGACACTGTGGATTCAGCCTGATTTACACCCTGAAGTCATCTTCCCCAACAGATTTCTGAATAGGGCTGAATTAATGCCAGATCAGTTTGATGATCTGATGGTCTGAGATTTACATTCAGTTGCAGTTTGAGCCGTTTTGGTCTTGACTGACATAAAACTGAACTTTTCTGGAGAACACAAACTACACTCTCTGCATCTTCCTCTTATTCATAAAAGAACGGTGTAAAGTGAAGCTGCCTTATTTCTTTTTGTCAAAATTGACGACATGTATGTCTTGTTTGAATAAACTTTATTGGACTAAACCAACTGGGGGTTCTGTGGTTACATTCAGCACGAGCCCCAGGTAGTGTCCGGTGGATTGGACCGTACGGCAGGAGCATAAAGCTGCCTGTTCTTAAGTTCATACAAAACAGTGTCTGCCGAGCTCATACAATCAAATAAAATACAAATAAACTGCTATGTTCAGATTCACATACCATCTTGACTTCCTTCTACTTGCAGAGCTCATGGGAATTTTGGGAGCTCCAAACAGAGCCTGACCCACAGAGGTTGAGAAAAAACACAGAGTGCAGGTTGAAGCTCAAGCACAGCTAAAAACATAAAAAGGTACCTTGTTAGTGACAACCAATAAGGAACTACACTGTAGATACACAGGCTGTAACTTGATTTAGTTTTTAATTATTATATTATTATTATCATCATAAGACCTTAGGTACCAAATCAGTATAAAACCTTCAAATAAGAAAATGTGCGTCATGGCATGAACATGGACATAACAACTGACAGCTGAAGACGTGTTCATCTCTGTCCAATACACAAATACAATGAATATGAATTTTAAAAAAGTAACAACAAAGGACAGAAGGAATCTGTAAAAAAAAATAATAAAGTGAATTGAATCGCTGGAATGTTTTTGTCAGGAAAGTTTGAATGACAGTGGCGCAGAGCTTCTGTCCACAACAGCACAGTCTGTGGAGATGAATGGAGATGCTGTCCAGCTATAAGTAAACTTGACTAACTCCACCTGTCTCATGCAGATGTGGTGATGTTAAACAAGTGCTCCCATATTGTGTCAAGAGGAACATTTAACACTGCAAAATGAATTCTACGTCACACACACACACGTGTGTGAACCAGAGTTAGAACTTAGTTAACATGAATATACGGTTTGTCATTAAATGATTTCAACAGAAACATCTACTCAGAATTAAATTAGTTGCGTAAAAAATCTAAATCAATAAAAGTAACATCACATTCTTTGCTCCCTCAGTGTTAATTAGTAGGAACTTAACGGACTCTCTCAGACTTCACAGCTTCAGAAATGTGCTGTGTCGACGCTGACAACCTGACAAACACAGCAGGTCAGCACAGCACATTTCCACTTTACAGAGTTACAGCCCTCTTCAGCTGGTTTACTGCATCTCAGTTTGCTTCTCCACTAACATGTACACCTATTCTCTCAGCTCAGGTCTAAAAAGATAAAACAGACCGAGGTCACTGTAGCTGCACATGTGTTGAAATACTGGGTTTAAAGGAGGTTTAGTGTAAATGGTGCTGAAAAGAGGCTGAACTCTCAATCAAGTCCATCTCGGTCAGTGATCCACACTGACTCCAGTGCTGTGCTGATCTATGAGGGAATAAACTGAACACTTAGAGGAGGACCGCAAAGAGGGGGTGGAGGAGCTAACCTGGACTCAAAAGTTCCGTCCAGACGTTGAAGCTGAGTGAAACAAAACGTCCTATTTGTCCTTCTTGGACTCGGACTCTTCCTTCTGCTGCTCTGGCTCCTCTTCCTCTGGGACTGGTGGGAACTGGGACTGGCCGACTTTGTCTTCTTTTGTCTTGCTGAGTTTCTTGGATTTCTGGTACAGTTCATTCAGGTTGAACTCTCGGATGATGTTCTCCTGGTGGAGAGACACAGATGACAGATGTTCTTAATGAACAAAAAAAAGGTTAAAACTTGTTAATTTTCCACAGTCTATAGTACTGGGAAAAGGTATTACACTGTAATCAGTAGTGCATTGGTACCAGTGCCAACTAGAATTCCCTCCTTGTGGTTGTTTCCACCAACCAGCCAAGTTACAGGAAATATGGTCACAACCTCACCAGTCTGAGTTACTTATGACTGTTTGCATATAAAATATCATCACTTCATCATTTTATTCTGTCAGACATTTAAGTTAAATTGTGTCACAATTGGTGAATGAATTTGTGAGTTATGGCCCAAAGTGTTTTTGTGAGGTCAAAGTGACCTTGACCTTTGACCGCCAAATTCTAATCAGTTCATCCTTGAGTCCAAGTGAATGTCTGTGCCAAATTTGGAGAAATTCGCTTGAGGTGGTACCGAGATATGCAGCCCTTAAGGAAGACATTAAGTAACTGCCCCTGTAATATGTTCATTTAAAGTATTAATGCTCACTGTAACTGTTCCTTATAAGGGAGAAATCCACAGTCCTCATTCTTCTTAAATTCAGCTGAAGCTGTTACGAGCCCATCACTAACTGCCTGTGAAACTGATTTTTATACCAAGGGGACTTTAACTTAGAAAAATATAATCAATATCAACTGAATCAGCTGTTGTAAGACAGACTTGAAAAATGGTAACTGTCATTGGCTGTTGTTTTTGTCACTTGTCTGAAGTGTGCTGTCCAGTCTGACCTCAGTGAAGCTCCATGACACGGCTCTCCCCTTCTTGTCCACCTGGGGGCGTCGCATCACCTCCTTCCCTCCCTGGAACAACACCAGAGACGGGAGCTGCTTGGACAGCGGAGACGTCGACACCTTGTACCTGCAGAACAGAATTAAATGTTCATGTTTCTGGTCTGTCCTCTCTGACAAAATAAAAGCCCATCACTCTGTGTCGACCGAGGAGATCACACATCTTACTTCTTGGAAACCTCTCCATAACGTCCGATGTCCACTTTGCCAAACTTGAGGCCGGCACAGTTATACCTGAAACACAAAAACAGGAGTGACTGTTGTTGCTGTCACTGAGTGCACATCATACTTTGACTGAGCGGGTGGGTGGAGTCTTACTTGAGAGAGAGATCAGCATAGACAGAAGCGAAGGACTGGCACTCTGGAGACCAGTTGGCGAAAAACTCAACAATCCATGTCACACGACCGTCTCTGTCCAGCTCATCCTGGACACACACAGCACATACACACAGTCAAAAACAAACTGTACAGATGTTTGCTCTTGGTAAGAGGCCAAACTGCTACAACCATGTCCACTGTCACTCACATCGATGGTTTTGTCGCTGAAGTATTTGATGTACTCTGGTCCCATGTAAAGTGGAGGCTTACAGGTCATCAGGAACACTGAAACAGACAAAGCACCAGGACGTTATGTTTGAGATTTACAGAATCAGTGCTACAACGATTAGTCCATTAATTGATTAGTCAATACACAAGGCACCAATGGGCATAAATCTAAGTCATTTATAAAACAAGAATCTCCAGTTCCACACTCTCCAATGTGAGGATTTCCTGCTTTTCTGTGTCATATCATTGTAAAGTGAATATTGAATGAGCAAATAAAAAGGTTGACTTAGGGAATCCTGACATTTTACAGATTTAATTATCACCAGATTGATCAACAACAAAACAATTATTTATCCTCTCTGTGTTAGGACTCTGTTCACTACAATGCTGATGCTGGATTTGTCGGGCCACTTTGGATGAGACTACACAGATAAATTAGTTTTATTTATTGTCTTATCCCAGTGTTTGTTTTCAACTTTCCCTTTGAGCATCTCTCAGGGAATGTTTGAGTTTGCGCCATCACTTTTCATGAAGATGTCTACTATTAAAGCATTAGCATGTTGTGGACGAATGAGAACATTCACAGACACTTGAATTTGATTCTCTGTATATTTATTATGACAGATCTTGGCATTTCATCAGTAGAGTATATTTAAGGTGGTATATCTCAGCTTTAAATGGTTTAACATGCAGGATTTTATGTAAAGACTCATAACAAAACAAATGTTTATCTGCAAAGGGCAGGGTCTCTGCATTTATTATTTTCTTATTCTTTAGCTGTATTCGGGATGTTTCTTGGGGTCAACCTTTGGGCAGTGGGTGTGTAGCCTCGTGTCTGTGGCTCTCAACCCAAAACCTATTGGTTCCTAATGAAGACATACATTAGTGAAAAAGACCACCCCAAAAAAAAAACAAAGCTCGCAAATATATAATTTCATTTTTGAGAAAGACTCAGTCATTTCCGACAACAGCTGCTCGCTGTAGCTTTTTACCAAACAAACAGGAGGGAACAGTGCGTTTGTTTTGGGACAATTTTCAGCGGTGGGTTGATCCACATGTTGTGTGCTTCTGAGATCCAACACGACACTGTGTGTGGGATTGAGTCAAAATAAAGTGCAGTGTGTGTGTTCATGGGAATGAAGGAACATGTCACCCAGTGCAATAGTGTGACTCACACAAGTGAACACACACACACACACACACACACACACGTTTGAAAGACATTCATTGTTGATTTTGGTCTTTTAATTGAATTTGTTGACAATAATATAAAATATAACCAAACAATCTGAACAGAAGTGTCTGCTGATGTTAGTGTGATACACGGTGATGGTTTGACTGACCTATGCAGAGTGTCAGGTAGAGCAATCCCATCCTGATGTCCAGTCTGAAGAACAGGATGACATTGGCCACTTTGCTGAACAGGATGATGTTGCCCACATGCTGCTCCACCGTTACTGATGAACCAATACAGACAGACTTTTCATGTTTTTGTCCAAACTCAATAAACACAATAAAAATTTTTAAATTTAAATGATCATGCTGAAAAAGATGCCAGCTGATATTCAGTGTCCTTAAAATGCACGACTGTAAGCCTGAAACATAAGGAAACTGATCTAGTGCATTTCTTCTATAATTTTATTCTTTTCATGGTGAAAAAAAAACAAGACATTGGTTAAATTTCACTGGTATCATTAGACTTCCTGTTACTTTATATGGGCCATGGTTCAGGAATATACCATTACCAGATTATAACATGACATATCATATCATCATTATGCTACTGAGGAGAAATGAATCCACAACTAATATAAACAAAACAATAAAAAAGCATTTACTCACTTGCTCTTCTGTTCTTCATCATGACGATGGCACTGAGGAACATGAGAATCTCCACTTCTCTCTGAGAACACAAACATATGTCTCATCTGTGGGCAGCCATGTTAACCAGCCTGCTGATCATATCATCCTTCAGGAATTAACTTCTTTTTATCCAACATGTCAACACTCAACATGTTAAACTGAAGACAGATGGAAGCTCTTTGAACGGTAGCATTGGCCAGAGTGAAAAAACATTTGAGAAAGCAATCACATCCTCTTTTTTTTTTATTTTTATTTTTTTTAAACACCATACTTGTATGATACATCAGTATGAAAAAAATAAGAACAGTCAGCACATACTATCTACCTGCTGATTTACTAATCATAACATTACTACATGCATGTGGTATATTTATAATCAAGCTGTGGATTGTGTGCTTTGAAAAAAAACACTAGACCCAAACTGCTTTATAGTTTATTAGACTACACAGAGGATGGATGTAGCTGCAGGTGTTTATCAAGCGCAGCCTTCTGCAGCAGCTACTCTGCTTCTAGGAGGCCACAGTTCCTTCCGTCGCGACAGTGGCACAGCAAATCTATTTGAAAATCTCACAATTTTAGCACATTTGTTTTTCGATGTACGTTTATTTCTTTAGACTGAGATAAACGACTTTTATTAAATTCCGCAGTTAAAGTCGGCAAACATTCAAAACACGAGCTGGCTACTCTTACACTATACTGTACTGATTCGTCGTTAATTTAGCGGACGTTCGCTAGCTAAACCAATAATGAATGGCGTAATTCTATACGTCGTTTCGTATATAAATTAATTCTAATTTACAGATTCTATTTATGCCGTACAATATATAGTACCTTAATTAATTGTACCAAGTTGTAAAATAATTTTTTTGACTTGTGTATCGCTGCCAATAAGCACAACAGTATGAATTCCCAGTTTTTTGACCGCAGTCTGGCCTGTCATTCTTTCCCTTTAGCTAGCGGCTAATGTCACCGGGCCCTTGCTGCCATCCAGTCCAATGACCCACAACTGTGTCCATCCTCTGAGCAGCAAGCTACTAGCAAGTTGATACCATTTAAAAAGCAATTTGCGAATTTCCAGAATTTTCTACGGACCCAGTCGAAGTCGCAGGAGTTGCCGTCCTCTCGCTGTGTGGCCAGATGGTCACAGATGCCAGGCGTCTTGCGGACAGCTAGAAAGGCTACAGACATAAAGAGAGAAGCTACATAGTAGGGCTTCAGCAGCCACTTGTACACCTGCGGCAGGTGATACAGGAAAGCAAATAAAGGCGTTAGCAGAGCCATTTTCTAATTAATGATCGTACTATCACTAAAACGGGAAGTGAACCCCAAACACAGGGAGCTAAAGGTGATGCAGCCGTTAGCTTAATATGACCAACTCAATGTTAGCTGCTCTGGTGCTTAAAGGTGAACGGAAATACAATTTCCTGTTGAGTTAAAAAATAAATCCCTCTATAATTATTATGACCATGCACAGAGCGTGCTATAAATTATGTTTATTGTATTTTGAAATACATTTCAGGTAAATGTGATATTTAATTAATTTTAATACATTTCTGTGTTCTTTACACCCATGGTCGCGTTTTATCAGCCAAAATTAGCACCCGTCCACTTTTAATCTGAAAGTGGAAGACCGGACTTCCTGTGGAGCTATCGTTAATGTTTGTTAGCTTGGTTCAGTCGTGCAGTTTGCCGTCGGCAAAATTGTGCAGAAACGCTCATTTAAAGGGCCGGAAGGAGGTGCGGAGGTCAATCAGGACGAATGTGTTATAGCAAGTGCTGATTGGTCAGGACAGACAACAGGTCACTGCTGGGTTCCCTCAAGATGACCGTGGAGCATTCGGGTTGTCTTACAAGGTAGCTGTTCTGTTTTGTATTGGAAAAGAACAGAGTGGCAGCTGTTTTTAACTGCAGCCTTGTTCACAGCAAACAACTTGACTTGTCATATTGGGAAAAGCACATGTTACTAATAACAGAGGCATAAAAACAGGAACTGAAACAGTAGGAAATCAGCTGCACATTCAGGCTGCCAATCTCCTGTTCTACCACATGCCAGAGGTGTTCTACTGGATTCAGGTCTGGAGACCTAATTAAAATTAGGTAATATGAACAAGGTAGATTTTGACTTGGTATCTCATCATTTTCACGTCTCATAAATTTGACTTAAATTTTTAAAAACAAGCCTTACAACAAGCCCTTTTCTATGTTTTACTGGAAACAACCAAGGGTGTAGGTTTGGGCTCAACATTGGTAGGGACACAGCAACCCCTACAAAACAAAGAGGACTATTTAATGATGTGAACAGAATGGTTTAATAATGTATGAACTGTATTTACATTAAGATCTGTATTTACATATATTCACAATCAAATAAAAACTATCATGGTAACAAATAAAGGATTAAAAGAAAGTACACAGTAGGAAATGACTTGTTAACGGAAAAGAGAGAAAAAAAAATTTTGCATTTTTGCATCCAACATCAGCATTTTTATATTCATTAGGCCTACCAGTGTTGCAGTTCCCCCCCTTGATTTCAGACCACAGTAAAATGCTGTACTAATCCAGTTATGCATTAGTATTAACAATCCAATAATGTAAGGCTGGTGATAGTTAGGTATAGCAGGTTTTCATTTTAAATCAATGTGGCCATGCTAGTTAGTTTATCATTCTCTGGATGGTGATATCTACAAAGTACAAAACATGTTGGCATGGACAAAATGTTGGCAATAGAGGACAGGGAGTTGTCTGAATTAAAAAAAAATTTGCCAATGCTTGAAGTCTGGACTGACTAATAACTGACCATTGTCAGCACATTGATCCACTCTCGCCTCCGTGTCTGTCCATAAGTGTGATATTTGTACATGACGTGAGCCTCCAGTTAGTCCACTTTCAGCATACTTAAATTGGTTGCCTTGGAGACGTAGCCTCTGGGATGGCTTCACTCCAAACATAGTACAAACAAGTTCAAAATTCAAATATTGGTGGGAACAATTCCGTCATCCCAAAATATTGTTAGGGACATGTCCCTACCGTCCATATTCAAACCTACGCCCTTGGGAACAACAGTAATTATGAGCTGTGAGTAAGAAAATACCATTTACTTCAGCTTTCAGCTGGTAAACACTAGTTCATTTGAAATAGATGGTGTTTTCTATTACAGTCCTTGGTTGGAATAAAACATGTATCATCACCAAGTGAAAACCTCTCTTATGACATGTAGAGGACTATAAATAGAAATTGTCCCAATTTCCTAAACTGCTTGAATGCAACACAAGGATGTAGCAGCAGCATCTGCTTGCTCTGCAGTGACATCACCCTATGACAATACTGGGTTGATTTTGGATTTATGAGCTCATCAGCTACATTTGTGGCTTAAAGACACAAGTTTTGACACAAAGATGGTGTTTTTGTTGTTGTTGTTGAATTTGTTCATGTAGCAGGGAAGAAACAGAGACATTGAAAACTGTTTTAACATCTGATATTTCCTAAATCAGCTTTTTGTTGCCTTTTGTTTCAAAGTTATTATGTTCACAAAAGTGTATCCAAACATAATTTTTTTTCTTTTTTTTCAACTTTATTAATGAACAAATTGTACAAAAAGTACACATACACATTGATATGAGAGCTGATAACAAGGATTCCGAAAACTACACAAGAAATTATAATTGAAATATTAAATGCACATTTGCACAATAAATAAATAATAAATACTATTAGAAAAACATCAAATAGTCATACATAAGCAAATATAGTCAATTTCAAGGGGTTTCGTTGAAAATATTCTTATAACATTCTAAAAATCAGATGCTTTTTTTATTGTTTATAAGGGACAAGGAATCAAGACGGATACTAAATTCCATCAAGAAAAGGGGGAGAGAGAGTTGTGAATTTAAGAATTTCTTTTTATGAATAAAGAATTTTCCAAATAAAAATAAAAAACGTTAATAACATAGTTAAGAGTTTTTTCATTCGTCATAATAATATATTATATCTTTTAAAGTAAAATGATGGGACACTTTAGTATTATGAAAAATATAAGCATTTAAATCTGGCCAAAACTTCATTACAATTTTACATTGAAAAAATAAGTTGGCAAAAGTTTCATCAGCATGTCTACAAAACGAGCAGGAATTATCAATGTCAGTATATTTGGAGATTATGGAATTTACAGGGCAAATTTTATGTAAAATTTTGAAATGAACTTCTTTGACTTTATTAGGGATGCAAAATTGATGTGGTAATAACCAAGTTTTATTCTAATTTATTTCTTCCAAAAGTGAGTTCCAATTAAATTTCCCTCTTGGGGTGATTTGTATCCACACATTCATAGTCCATCATGATCCACATGGTGATGTAAAAAGTGAAGTCATACAATGGGGAACTATTGCTCCTCCAGGTGAAACCAAGCCATGATGTCACTCTTGCTGCCTTTAAATCACCCAGTACTGACCTCACCTTAACCCTTGATTATTTTAGAAAAGAATTAAAACTAAAATTGTCAATTAATGTGATTATTTAGTTGTTGTAGCATTTTCCTCAGATATCACAACTCTATGCATTTATTTATTCATTTATCTATTTATTGTTTTGCATTCATTTGATGGTGTCTGTTGTGGGCAGAGTTCCTTCATCACTTCCTCTAACGTGAACAGGAAAAGCATGTCACTAGCACACAGCAGGAAGAGGAAGAGGAGTGAGAGGAGATCACATGAAAATGGTTTATATTTCTTATTCTCTATTTTCTTTTTTTCATTTTTTGTTTTGAAATTATTTTTGTAATTATTCTTATTTTGAAATAGTGTATCTGCTTAATTTTACATTTATTATTTACTATGATTATTGGCTTATTTATTAATTTATTTATCGAAATGTGTGTCATTGCCAATAATGTACTTCCGGCTCAGCGGCTGCTGCGGTATCGGTTTTCCTTGTAAGTGTCAGGTCTTTCAGGCCTGTGATTGGGCAGAGAAACTGATTCCAGATCAGCTGTCAGATTTGACTCTGCCTTTTCATCTGCTCCAATCAGAGCCGCTCACTCAGCCTTGGCGTATGTGCGCCTGGTGTCAAACTCGAGTTAGAGAAAATCACACAGGAAGTTTCACGACTTTGTCTTCGAAATAAAAGTCTCAAAAGGATGATATGTTAAATGAAAAGAATGTACGATTTTTTTTTTTAAACTAAAATTGTTTTCTAAAAAGCACTCATTACACAGCATGACACTTTGTACAGCCACATTCATTCAGTGTCCCATAAATTTTTGTATTAATTTCATTACATTATGAATGACAGAAATAAGTCTGTAACGTCCTCTTATATCATGTTCATATTACACATAAACTAAGTGTAGTTTTGCATACAGCAGGCTTTAAACTGGATATCTTCTTGTGCTATTAACGTAATAAACCAGACCTACATTTAATTAAGACTGAATATTTCTATCTTATTGTCACTGTTTGATTTACCTCTCAGTTGTTCTGTTCATAGTTAAAACCAGCATTCACCTAAGAGTATAAATATACTCCCCTAAACCCTTAAATTTTGTCCAAATATATATGTTAGTTGAACATAGTGGTAAATTAGTTGTATTTCTTACAATGTATCCATAATTGTATATTACATTACATATATCACATGTTGAAAATTCATATAGCCATCATTATGTTATAAATGTATAATTTTTTCACTTACTGAAGAATAATTGATCATTTGTGTGTTGATCATTATTTAAAATATATGTGCATTTTTAAAAGAAACAGAAGCATGAACTTGTTGAGTGAGCGAGGTAATACTTCTATATTTTTTTAATTAAGATAGTATTTTATTTGAAATCAATGTTGTGCTTTTTAACTGATAAACAATTTTCTTTAAAGTGCAGCTATGCATGCTGTTGTGGTTGAAATGTTTTATTATGAAAATTCCAACAAGAAATCCTGTGTATCACTCTCGCTAGCTTTAACGTGATGGTGGTCGCTTCGCTAAGCGGCTCGGGAAGAAGGAATCCAGACAGGATTATCAACAGCAGACGCCGCCAAGCGATATTTCTGGCTTTAGTTTACCTTCACCGGTCGGACTGCATCGACATTTCCATCTAGACCAACGTGAGGAGAGAGGTAAGCCGTCGACTCTGTCTCTGCACCACGCTTGTCATTGACAGCTCCCGTTATTAACAGTAGCTAGGATTTTTTTTGCTATCGACTAGGAGAAATATTTCGATGTGCTACATTCTCCGGTTTATTTAGCCTCGCTCACATCCTTATTTACAATACGCAGTTGTAAAAAAAAAATTAAATAATAAAAACATGGCTGAATGAGGTCTATGATTATTTGTTAGCTTGACAGTCCGGCTGAGCGGTGCAGGTCGACGTTATCCAGTGGAGGTTATGGCTTTTCGCCCCGCCAGCGATGATTGCCTGTGGCTAGTAGCCTCATGGCTATCGAATACACAGCGAGCAAAGGAGCCCGGGCTGGATACAGATGATGCTCTCAATATGACAGAATCAGTGCATATATGTCCCGTCTGTACAAAGTGGTGATATTGATCATCTCCTATTATACATTTAGCTGCTGTAAACCTGTGGTATATTCGTGCCTATATCCCTGTAATACTCTTACACAGGGACCTTTGTATGGCAGCTGGCTGCTGGCCCTCCTCTCTCCCGGTACCGTGCAGCTGTAGCATCCGTCGTCACAGCCTCCAAACTGACGGGATGACTGAGAGAACCGAGCCCCCTCACACACCAACACGGTGAGGAGGGTTCACAGGGATTCTTCAAATCGCCGTGGCACAGACATGGAGATGTGGAGGGACATAACTGTTCATTAGTGTGACTGTTGCTTCTCTCTGCAGAGGTCAGGGTGAGCCCCACATCACATTAGCAGCTGGTGGACAGTGTGGATGAGTGAACCCAGGAGCTGTGGTTGACCCTGTCCTTCACTAGGGTGCTGACTTGAGTAGATGTATACATAATATTTTTTCTTTAATATTTGAGCAGTAACCCAGGATATGCTGCGGCCTTCATCAGGGTAAATCTGGAAAGCAGAGGCAATCACAGAGTTGCAGTCTTGTGTACAGATATATCATCAGGTCATCCACAGAGAGGGTTTGATCATCCACATTATGATGGTGGGAGTCCCCATCACCTCATGCCTCAGGACTCCTGCGGTCTAACAGACATCTTGGTTCCCCTGTGGGAAAGACCAGAGCAACTGGAGCACGGTGGTCTGTCAGCACCATGGACTACCATGCTGAGTGCTGCTTCTGCGACCCAGAGGACGGTCATGGTGGCCCGGATGAGCCACCGCTCCACAGTATCCACGCGCCCAACCGGATCCGCCCGTCCTCGTACCGAGCCCTCAGGAGCGCCGTGTCCAGCCTGGCCCGCATCGACGACTTCTTCTGTGAGAAGATTGGTTCAGGATTCTTCTCTGAGGTCTTCAAGGTACGTGACCTCTTCTCTTGATTGAGTAGTTTGAAAAACACGATCCTTCAGTTATGATGCAGTTTATCTCATAATTTAATTGATAAAATACATGGTACGCTTGGGCCCATAATCGATAATATAGAATGTCACAATATTTCCCGCTATATGCAATTTTTTTTTTTTTACGAAACATACTTCCCTGCTCCCAAGTCCAACCCTTATTTCACTGCTTTGCTTACTGTACATTGAACCTTGGCATGTGAGAAATAAAACTTTGAACTGCTGTTTAATGGCAGTATCACTTATACAGTATGTTGTACAATGCTCTAATTATATATATATATATATATATATACACAATACAATACAATACAATAATATTATTAAACAAATGAGAAAATACAGCTATATAATTATATTATTTGCATATTGCAATGTATTGAGATACTAAATTTACACTTTTTTTTTTTACACTTACTCACAATTTATACTACCCTAATATATGGTATGTTTACTTACTTAATCTGATGTGCAGTATTCGAGTTCACCTCAACTGTAACATAGTCAGAGGTGTCAGTCCCATATGTTTCGTCAAACTCTGATTGCTACCATATGAGATAACAAAAAAACTGAATGAATGAACAAACTAAAGACTAAATAAGACTTAAGACTGCTTAAAAATGTATGAACGGTACTAACACCTCCATAAAAACTAGTTCTTCTTAGTTCTAAACGTCAAAAAATGTCCCTTAAGGCCCCTCCAAGTTGATCCGCATCAAGTCTTCAGTTGTAGACCCTCCATGGGCTACTTGTTGAATTCCTGTGGTTTTGGCCCTTTGCACTGTTGGACAACATTGTTTCAGCGTCATCCTTTTGTAATACTTTTTATTTTACAGTTTGCACACATCTATTTTGACACGTGATTGAAGATACAAGTATTTGCTGGTGTGGCAGAAACATTGTCATGTTGAGCTGCTGTAGAAACTGCTGGTGGTCAAATTCAGTCCTGGCTATTTTTGTTTCCTCAATATGCAAATATATAATGTTAATGACAAGTGTTGAAAAGAACACAGCTTCATCCTCCAAGAAAAATTTACGTGTAGTAGATCTTGAGCAGCTTCCACCTTCTTTTTACCAGAAGCTTGAAGGACGTGTAGTTAACTTGTTAATCATTTTTATCTCCACTATTCCACAATGACACACCTTGTTATATATGTAGAGGCAGAAAACCTCTACATTGTCTTTAGGTAGCTGATGACTGGTAGTTATCATTCATCATTCAAGTCTCCCTAAGGATACTTGTAATAACTTTGGTGAGCCTCTTACTTTTGATCTAGTGCCATCATCAGGTCAAAGTTTAAACTTGTCATTCATGATCAGATATGTGCAAAGCTAATGACGTTTGATGCTTTGAGTTTACTGCTGATTAGCAAATGATAGAAAACGTGAATATTGTCAACATTGTACCATTGAACCATCAGCACCGTAGCTTCGTCATTGACTTTCACACATAGTTCAAAGCACCACTGTGGCTAAGGCTTAGTTCACAAAACTATATTTTCATATAAAACACATTCCTTTGCTACGTTTTCACCTCCTGTCATCACTACTCCAGAGTTTTCACCACAGACACTTTTGGAAACTCAGTTGAAGTTTGAAAAACTGAGTTTCAGTACTGATTCTAAAATGATACTTTAACTACTTTAAAAGTTTTTCTACAGAAGCATTAATTAGTCTTTTGACATAAATGTATGTTAGTTTTAGTCATTTGATTATTGTCAGTTTTAGTCTAGTTTTCAGCAGTAGAATTTGAATGTAAATTTTAGTCATGTATTTTATCATTTCTACGTCTTGGTTCAGCTTGAGAAGAGCAGCTGGGGGAACAGCTATAGAATATTCCTCTATCAAACATCCTGGAGGAGATTTAGGTGACTGACAGCCAACATTAATTCTGTACTCATCCCCACTGTTGGCCTAGAAACACTAAAGTGATGTTGCGTGTTGCAGTTATGGGACAACGTCACACTAATGTTGATGTCAGTGTTTAAATGATTTAGTTTTTCTTGTTTTCAATGTAGTTGTCAGCTAAAATATGTGTAACAGCATTACGTACACTTACACTGAGTGGAGTATAGTCTGAAACTGACAATATCATGGTCCAATCAATCAAACAGGTAGAGAGCAAAGCTCCATTACCAGCTCTCAGCTCTGGACTGGTTTTGATACTCAGTGTTGCAGTGTTGGAGTCTTTCATAGCCTGGCCAGGCTCTGCTGATAGGTCCTGAGTAGTAGCATCACTAATGTATCACACTTGTGTTTATTTCATTAATTTTATATGTGCTTTATATTTCACTGTGCTGTTTCTTCTGTGTGTTTGTCTGTTGCATCGGTGGCATGTAGATAAATGTTGATTTGTGTTCATTCGTGCCTATTTCAGACCTCAACATTAACTTTTGAGGCACTTGTCCTTTGGACGAGTAAATTTAGGCACAAAAGTAATTTGTTAATTACAGTAATTAACCTTTTATGTCTCAGAGATGGAGACAGTCAGAGCTGCAGCCATATTGTTTTCAGGTTATCCATCTGTCTCATTCTTGTGGACACGATATCTCAGGAATGCCTTGACAGAACTTTTGGTAAAAACTTTCACTTGGACTCAAGAACAAACTGACTAGATTTTGGTGGTCAAAGGTCACAGGCCAGGGTCACAGTGACCTCGCAATTATGACAAGTTTCACACAAATAGTTCATATTTTATATGACTCTGGATGTAACCTGAAACTAGTCTGAGTGGAGGAGGCAGACAACCACGAGGAGGTGATTCTAGTTTTCATATTTGTTTAAAAACAGGCAACGCAGAGTGACACCACTGAATGTTCAGATAAGTCTACATATAGAGGCTTTAGACGGGACAAACTAACCTTCAGTTTACATGTACCTTGATATCCTTGAAAGTTTGTGATTTTAAGGCAAAAAAATCAAGGCCTTTTAAAAGATTTTGAAAATCAACATATGTACTCATGGGTCATTGAAAGTGTTTGAAAGTGTATATTCTGTTCCAAAATAGAAATTAAAGTATTTTTGATACTTGATATTTTATGTTAGTGAATGGTCTATCTGCAGCTGTCTGCATCTCTGTAACACAACACAACTGAGATGTGTTCACACGTTCATTCAAAATATTGTTTTTAAATGGACGCAATCTGGGGACAGTGGCGGGTATGCTAGCAACAGATATTCACGTCAATTTAGAGCTGAGTTAGAGCTAATGAGAGTCACATAATACGAAGACTAGGGACCAGGGTTTTTCCTGAATAGAGAATTGGGAGGCGGCCGCCTCCGTCAAATTTCATGCTGCAGTTGCGGCTGTACGCCACTACGGCAATGTTTTTCCCCAGACAAGTGGACAAGCCTTAATGACAGGCTTGCTGGACAACAGGTCCCACTGTCCAGACTAAGTAGATTACTCTCACTCCACGTGTGTGTGTGTGTGTGTGTGTGTGTGTGTGTGTGTGTGTGTGTGTGTGTGTGTGTGTGTGTGTGTGTGTGTGTGTGTGGACATCCTACATTTTCCTGGTAGGTAACCTGTATGTATGTAAATCACCTCCTGACCATCAACTCCAGACTGAATGTTCCAGGCAGGACCATGTAAAGTCATAGATGTAGTTAAAGTGTTTGTTCAGGGCGAGGGTTCATACAAAGTGGATTGGTGTAGAATATGTGTGTTAAAGTAGTTTGAAGAACATAAAATTATCTGTATATTTAAAGAAGCTTCATATGTAAAGTTGTTAAGTACATATTCACAGATGATTTAAATTAAATAAATACCTCTGGTAGCCCTCAAGGTTTGATTCCTAGTTGTTGCAGATCCCAACAATGTCGAGTCTGGGAAAGATAGAAAACAAGCGTGTTTCCCAAAATGTCTGTTTTTAATAAAACATCTCATATGTAGAGGGGCAGCCCTTGTTGTTGGATTATTATGGTACTGTTAATCAGAATGTAAAAAGACAGGAAGACAAGATACTAATTATAAATGTAAAGGGAAATATAATATAAATTTCATGATCTGAATAACCCTCCTCCTGCTGTACAGTTTCATGGGAGTACAGCAAACGTCAGCCAGGAGTTAATAAGGCAGGGTGGCCTACCTCGGTGAGGAAAGGGTTAATGAGGAGGAAATAAAAAAGAGCTCAGTGCTCCTTTACACTCTTCAATCATTTGTGAAACACCTCATTAAGTTTTCTGCCTCTTGTCGTAGCCGTTGTTACTGATCACTTTATTTGACACAGTAGAGCTGAACAACTACGGGTAAAATTGAAAAATGAAAAGCCTGTCTATTCAGTCTGTTAAAACTGAATTATGTCATTATGTCATTTCATCATTCACTCATCTTTACCTCTTAACATCTGTTATTATATTAGGCAGCATCCTGTTCCAGTATCTTTTTGCACATCCTCTTGGACAAATTTGGAAGTATACTTGTTATCTTTTGACAGATCAGGAATTACCTGTTCAGACCCCTTCACTTTACTGGGTCATATCAGTCTGCACTCAGTACTCAGACAAACTGGGATTTCTAACATACAAGAATATACAGTATTGCAAGGCAAAATAAAAAAAAGAAAAGCCAAATCTGACATAATTCCACACAAAACTCAAAAAATGGACTAGACCAAATTATTGGTACCTTTTCAAAATTGTAAAAAATAATAAAAAAGCATTTGACGCTCCTTTAATTTGTATTTTAACTCACCTGTGGCAAGTAACAGGTGCTGGCAATATAGAAATCACACTTGCAACCAGTTTAAATGGAGAAAAGTTGACTCAACCATTGTGTTTGTGCCTGTCTGTACCACACTGAGCATGGAAAAAAGAAAGAAGAGCAAAGAATTATCTGAGGATTTGAGAACCAAAATTGTGGAAAAGCATGGACAATCACAAAGCTACAAGTCCATCTACATAAACTCATTCATGGTTACAGGAAGTGATTGATTTCAGTTATTTTTTCCAAAGGGTAGGCTACCAAATATTAAGTTGAGGGTGTCAATAATTTTGTCCAGTCTATTTTTGGAGTTCTGTGTGGAATGATGTCAGATTTGGCCTTTTTTTCTTTGTTTTTTTGTGTTGTTCCAATGCAAACAAAAGAAATAAACATGTGATACCAAAGCATTTTTAATTGCAGTAAATTTCTGGGAGAAATGGTGCATTATCTGAAAGAAGTACAGGGGTGCCAGTATTTTTGGCCATGACTGTATATAATTGAATGTAATTTTGTGTGCTTGTGTTTTCCCTATCTGTATCTGTTTTTGGATTTGTTGCATTTCTGGATTTTTCCTTTCCCGTTTAGTTTCCCTTAATATTTGTGCTTTCTCTTTTCTATGTGCTTTGTCCTTCAGGGCCACTGTACAGAACCTCTACTGATTGAATGAGCACTAATCAATGATAATGGATCAGAATTCAGTCAATGCTCACATTCTATTAGATTTATCATCACTGTTAAACTCTGAGCTCAGTGTTTTCCTGGTACCTCTGCACTGGGTCATTGTGTGTTCTTGTGTGTGTGAGTGTGTGCGTGTGTGCGTGTGTGTGCTTCCTGTCAGCTGCAGGGTGAGGCCTTAGTAATGGCCCAGTGGATTTGAGCAGATCAGAAGGAGTGATGGGAAATCCAGAAAGCCTATTAGTGCCACTCTATTAATACACACACACACACATGCACGCGCACAAACACAGACACAAATACATGCACTTACAAGCCCAGAGACTGGCTGAACATTGCAGGCACAAATACTCAGATACTAATTGATACTTAAAATTAGCATTGGATTAGATACTCATTTGCAACAGTATGGATACCAACAGTGCCGTCTTTGCCTCCTCGAGTTGACACAACTTCATACAGCAGCACTGCAGACAGGCAGGCACACAGCCCTTCACCTCACTAGCAGCTGAACACATGAACGCTAGTTGACGTTTACAACACCGAGCTGGTGTCGTTAGCATAAAATTACATTAACATGGCAAGAGCTGCTGCTGAAGGACCTTCGCAACCTGTTTAAGTTGAAAAAGAAAAAAGCAAAAGTGCCGTTTGGAATTATTTTGCATTATTATTTTGCTTACCTGGACTACCTCAGACAGCCTAAAAGTAGTTTTGTCATTGATGTTATTGTTTGTATTGTTCTAATCTTTATTTAAAACATTTTTATGCATCTTAATTTTTTGTCATTTTTTCTTGCCATGGTTTCGAAAATGGTATCAAGTACCGAGTATTTTCCTGGGTATCGGTATCGAGTTTGAAATTCATTGTAGATTAAAAGCCCAAAGAAACTTCTCATTAGCTTAAAAGGTGACTAGTTAGCACCCCTAAGTAGCTTTCCTAACCTCAGCTCCCCCATGGTCAACATCCTCCTTTCTCTTCCCAACCAACCAGTTTAATAGTCATCAGGAAACTGAAATATAATTTAACTATCAAGATGTATGTGTACAGGACAGATTAGAGTTTAGTCTAAGCTTGTACCTGGTGTTCACTTACTGGAGAGTAAGTGAAGATGTAATATCAGTGCAGCTAAGTCCAGTAGCTTGCCTTTCTCTTGGAGCCACTAATTACTAAAAGAGGATCTTAACACTGCACATGCAGGTAGTAATGACAAACAGCTAATTAACGTGACTTCCTATGAATGTAGCTAATGTTACATAGCAGCCAAAAAACCTGCTGTTAGCATTAGCCTTACCTAGGGAGATGTTTGCTAGGCTAACCCCCTTCACTTCTCCAGCAGTTGGGGAAACAACATATGACTTTTCTTGGTCTTGAGAAGGTGCAGCTTTTATTAACTGACACACTGCAGGCTTTACTGTACATTTATTGCCTTAGTGACAACTTATTACTTACCCTTTCCTCTGCTCCGCTCCATTCACCGCTTCACCGTCACTTTTCTGCGGCTTGCTGGTTGCTTGTTATGCACTGCCCTGTTCCCTAATGGAGCTATGCTACTCTCTGTCCTTTGAAGAATGAGGAAAGGGTCCGGGAGGATTTAATGCATGAGTTGATTAAAACAATTCCAAGATAACATTGGGTGTCGCCGTGCTCACACAGTGTGCGAGTGAAAATCATTAGTAGCCTGTTGACATTAATGACTTTAGCGGTGGCGTTGTCCAAACTTAAGGTTCTAACAAAATTCTAAATATAAACTATCAAAATTGTTTTGATGTAAATACACTGAACACCAGTAGTGGGCAAAGTGTGTGTGTATATAATTAGCAGCCTCGTACCTATGACCAAATCACAGCCGTGTTGATATTCAGTACATCACTCCCTCTCGTGTGATATTTCTTTTATAGCACCATAGTTGGTATTCATATAGTTGAATAAGTAACAACAGATTGTGATTTTTTATTTTTTATTTCATCATTTATTTTGCTACGCCAACACAAATAGTTCCACAACCGGATTAGACTGTTGCTAAGCAACACATGAACATTATCCTGACCTGCACAGTGCACACTAGCTTGCTACTTTGTCTACACGTTACCTCAGGTGTGCGTTGAAGTATCCAGGCTTCTTCCCTTCATCCTGTTTTGATGAACATAACATCATTTAACTCAAATTCAAATATTATTTCTGGAAATATTTTCATTTTTGCTTGTTACAATCTAAGATAGATAATGGCCGTTAATGTAACGCTAATTAACGGTTAATAGAACACCTGTAGTGATCTGTGATAGTGACCTGGAGTTATACATGTGCCTATAAAAGTGCCTCTTGTCCAATCAAATTACTTGGTAGGAACCAACAGTTGTATAATATTATATATAATATAATATAATATATTATATAATTTATATATATATATAATATATATAATATATAGGTATAATAAGGAGGTTGATGCCTCTTTATTGGTACACCTTGCTAGTGCTGGGTTGGACCCCCTTTTGCCTTCAGAACTGCCTTAATTCTTTGTGGCATAGATTCAACAACTGGAAACATTCCTCAGAGATTTTGGTCCATATTGACATGATAGCATCGCACAGCTGCTGCAAGATTGTCAGCTGCACATCCATGATGCGAATCTCCCATTCCACCACATCCAAAGGTGCTCTATTGGATTGAGATCTTGGTGACTGTGGAGGCCATTTGAGTACAGTGAACCCATTGTCATGTTTAAGAAACCAGTTTGAGATGATTTGAGCTTTGTGACATGGCACGTTATCCTGCTGAAAGTAGCCATCAGAAGATGGGTTCACTGTGGTCCTAAAGGGATGGACATGGTCAGCCACAATACTCAGATAGGCCGTGGCGTTCAAACAATGCTCAGTTGGTACTAAGGGGCCCAAAGTGTGCTAAGAAAATATCCCCCACACCATTACACCACCACCACCAGCCTGAACCTTTGATACAAAGCAGGATGGATCCATGCTTTCATGTTTATTCCAAATTCTGACCCGACCATCTGTATGTGGCAGCAGATATTGAGACTCATCAGACCAGGCAATGTTTTTTTCCAATCTTCTATTGTCCAGTTTTGGTGAGCCCATGCAAATTGTAGCCTCGGTTTCATGTTCTTAGCCGACAGGAGTGGCACCCAGTGTGGTCTTCTGCTGCTGTAGCCCATCTATCTATCAGCTCAAACCAATCTGGCCATTCTCCTCTGAACTCTGGCATCAACAAGGCATTTTTTCCCAGAGAACTGCTGCTAACTGGATATTTTCTCTTTTTCAGACCATTCTCTGTAAACCCTAGACATGGTTGTGTGTGAAAACATAACAACAACAAATAATTTTATGTTTTGTATTTTAAAATGAAAATGAAATAACCACTTTTTTTTCTATTTACATTATCATATGGAAGTGTTATGGCCTCCAAAAATAAAGCTCAAAAGGTGCAGGAGGCTGCAACAAATGTAAAAAGGACACCAGACAAGAATAACATTTCACCCAAGCTTTATTGAAATACCCCCAAAATATTCAAAGTTTATCAACCCAAACCAAAGGACACAAAAAGGACTGGAGACCCCGGCCAAAATAAACAAAAGACAGGTAAACGCTGGGCCAACCACGCAGTGGGCCGTCGCTCCCAGCGCTTCCTCCTAAACTACCTAAACCCAACTTAACCTAAAACAAAAGACGAATAACATGACTACCCGTAATCTCCAGCCCGAAATAACATAAACTAAAATAACAAAACCCCACCACACCGAACTGTGTGTGGAGGAACGAACCCTGCTTGGAGAAAGAAGAGAGGACAAAAGAACCTTCACCCAGGTACAGCTGTCTGTGTGTGTGTGTGTGTCTCCTCCCTTGTCTCTGCACTCTCCGCCCCTCTTATCCCCTCCCTCTGTCCCCGAGTGCTGATTGCACCCAGGTGTGCACGAGGCAGAGGGAACTGGGAGGCAAGAGTAGCAGCGAGAGAGGACAGGACATCAAACAACCAGGGCACATGCAACACCCCCACCCTAAAATAAGAAAATTATTATTATAAAACTGAAATGAACACAGGACCTGAATAGTGTGAACGTGTTTTGACCTTTGCTGCGTGAATCATGTATTCCTGTGTTTATGCAGCTTTTCATCTGGACTGTTGTCCAGATGAAACACTGCATCTCACTGTGAACCTTCTCTGTTCTCTCTTTCCAGGTGCAGCATCGAATCACAGGGCAGGTGATGGCACTGAAAATGAACACGCTGGCTAGCAACAAAGCTAACATGCTACGAGAAGTTCAGCTCATGAACAGGCTCTGCCACCCCAATATACTCAGGTCGGTACTTATGTTTATCTGGAAACACTTCCAACATATGTGATGCCTTTATTTTAGCAAGTAGGTTTAGTTATAATGGGTCAGGTTATTTTGTCTTTATGTGAGAGGTGCTATACAAAGACTATTTTCTAAGATGATGTAATGAAGAGTGGCAACACATCTTGTTCATAATATTTAGTCTAGTTCACTAATCGCTTTATCACCCAGCAGCTTTAGCTATGCTAACATTGCTGAGCCTCTCAGTGAAAGCTAGACAAACAGTGATTGGTGAAGCTAGCTAGCTTGCTAACGTCAACTTATCATACAAACACATTCCATGTTATTATGCAGCAAGAATGGATTAGCTCAACATCACTAGCCTATATTGTGTAAGCTAGCAAGCTGAAAATTATATTACGCTTTTCTAGACTTAATATAACAAAAGTATTAAATCACTCAGTTCAGGCTAGGACAGTTTCAATAACAGCATGTGGGAAATGTCAGGAATGTCAGGTGCGATAATGAGATGTGGAAAAACTATTGTTTCTAAAATGTAAAATATGATCTACAATTTTTATTTTCTTCACTTCTCAGGTTCCTTGGGGTTTGTGTGCATGAAGGTCAACTCCACGCTCTGACTGAGGTAAAATGTTCTCCATGTTATACTCCATGTTTCCTCAGCTTCTTGAAATATATTAAGTGTTATATCTCTACCTCTGTCACTCTCGTTGCTTTGTTTATACATACTTTGTTTGTGTGTCTGTCTGTGATAGACAAGTGATAGATAAAATAACTGAAACAGCACATGGCAAAATCATACAAAATAGTACAGTGGCAAGAAAGGTGTCTGAACTTTGTGGAATGACCTGATCTTCATCTAAGTCACAGCTGTATGCATACACAGTGTGTCTAAGCTGATATCACACAAACAGTTAATAATCTTTGTGTCTATGTTGAACACCGACATTAAACATTCTCAGCTCTGGTAGAAACAGTCAGTGAACCCTTGGGTTTAATAACTGGTTGAACTTCCTCTGAAACCAGCTCCTCCAGTACCTGGTGATCAGAGCTGCTCAATTTTCAGGAGGAGGTTGGATCTTATAGAACTGCTTCAGTCTGACAGGTTCTCTCTCTGAGCTCAGTCCACAGCAACAGAAAGTGGATTTTCCTTGATGTTTAGGGGGATTGTCTCGCTTCATCAGCAGCTTCTCCTGAGCTTCAGCAGGTGGACAGACACCCAGCTCCCTCCACCCTGCTCCACCTGTGGGAGGAGGTTTTCTTTTCGTGTTGGTCTGCAGAGACCTGTTTACACAACACACAGAGCTGATGTCCAGTCTCATCAGTCCATCAAACAGTTTCCTGTAGTGTTGTGGAGAGTCAAACTTCAGCTCAGGGATGCAGCAGCTTCCTCTGTGGTGTCCAGGGCAACGGGACTCCATGCTCCATGGTGTGTGTGTGGTAGACTCATGAACAGAGATGTGAACCAACCCCAATGATTCCTTTAAGCCTTCAGCTGTGACTCTTAGGGAACACACTGTCTGCATTGCGTGTGCGTGGCAGCTGACATCGCTGAGCTGCTGCGGGGAAGCACGTGTGTGTGTTCACATCGGCTGTGTATCTGCTGTGTCTCTGCTGCTGCAGCTCTGTCTCTCTACATAGAATTTACATGTTACTGAATGTTGGATTTCTCCTCATTGTTAATTAATTTCTGATTTATTTTTGACAGAAAATATCACTAAAATGTCACTGTCTCCACATGCAGCTGCTAAAATGGTTAAAAATTATATTCATATTTTTTTATGTCTGTATCATTCTCAGATTCAGCCAGGCCATAGAAACTACAGTGGAAGGAGTCAGTTTTATGTAATGTTGCTGCTATGATGTCACTATGACATCGCTAGATCTTTTCTCTGTCTGTTTTTATGGCATGTGTGAAAACTAAGCAAGAGACTGAATCTCAAGATCTCGCCACAAAGCTGCGATGCGTGAGACGCCGTCTCTCGCAGGCAGTGTGTCCGCACTAATCCATTAACATGGGCACCAAAGTGAAAATCAACACGTTCCGCAGCCATGCTCACGCCACGTATTGAGTGTGTTCCTGGCCTCACTGAGCACTCTGTTATGAGCTTTTGGAGATATCTTAGCTGGACGTCCACTTTTGGAAACTAAATCAATTCCATTTACAGACAGTTTGTGTGACTGTGGACTGATGACCTGTGACCCTCTCAGCTTCATGCTCATCAACTCATCTTCATCATCAGTCTCTGAGATCTTTGTTGTGCAGCCTGGTTCATATCAGCTGATGTTTCTCTAAATGTCTGTGTCTCTAACCCACAACCTCCAGTCTGGTTTCTGACTGACTCCAGGTCTGATTACTCCAGTTAGCTTCTTTTAATGTCATTAGTCGAGAGGTTCACTACTTTTTACAACTACAGTGTGAATGTTTGAATGATGTTTTCAACAACAGCACAATGATTTCTGTGTCTGTGTTTGTGTCTGTAGTATATAAATGGAGGTAACCTGGAGCAGCTTCTAGACAGTGATCTGCACCTGTCGTGGGACATCAGGATCCGTCTGTCTCTGGACATCGCCCGGGGGCTGCAGTACCTGCACAGCAAGGGCATATTCCACAGAGACCTCACCTCCAAGGTACAGCAGTACAGGAGGACACAGGATACAGCAAGGGCTGTCAAATGTTGATCGTTAACTAAAACTGTTAAAACATTGTCATGAGTTTATGTTGAGGCAAATACACTTCACAGAAGATCCACCAGGTTCTAAAGTGAAAGGAACAGTTTCCTGTATCTCCGGCTGTTGTGTGGAGATGTGTGAAAAGAAAGAGGTGGCACAAAGTAAATGAATGACATTTCCCTCGATACTGAAAGATCCAGGGACAATCAGGCAGTCATATGCTGTATATACAGTACCAGTGCTGTTATTAGGGACTTTAAGCAGCAACGGTTGAGGGGATGGCTACGGCGTGATGTGATGATGTAGATTCTATGTTGACACTTCCTTTTCCAGTTTATTCATAGACATTTTAGTACAAACTGTTGTTAATCTCTCCAGCTCACAACCTCACCGTGCTGTGTATTGATGAAAACATGATGCTGTCTGTGGTGCTGAAGTAACAAACTCCTTATCTGATATTAAATTGTCTGTAATGCAAATATTAAGAGCTCTCAGACAGAGACAGACAGATTATAGCAATGTTCAGAGCGACCTCTGTTTCCTGAAGTAGTAAAGTAGTCATTGTCAGAGTTAAATGTTACTTAGCGATCTTTGATTTCCATTACTATGGCAATGCATTGGAATGTATATGGGCGCTGTAGCCGTCACTTCAACTGTTGCTGCTTAAAGTCCCTAGTGTCAAACCTCAGCAACTGCATGGGCCAGATGTATAAATAATGCAGATGCCATTTCTCAAAAGACGAGTGTGTGCACCTCACATGGACCTCAGTCCAGGTGTACACACAGTGTTCTGGATCCAGCTGCAGATTATATGGAAGGTGAGAGACGTAATGTACCACCTGTTTGTGTTATTATTTTTGAAATCTACACAGAAGCACATTATAAGTCTAATTTTAAATATCTGCTTATGAGAGATGAACTGTACGTCTACATTTGTGACATTATTTCCATGTTAATGAATTTTATCTCAGCTGTGAAACACTTTGTGACATCTGTCACTATAAATGAATCATTGATCATCCTCTTGATGTTTGATAATGGTCAATGAGACATCGTCAATGATGGTTTACAGATAAAAGTTAAACCAGATTCAACACTGACCTAAGTCATCCAGTCAGGCCCGGCAGTGGCCAATCAAATCCATGCATACAGGTGTTCCTGGTGGACTACCGTGTCACAGGAGTGACTTCACAAAAAACTGTAAAATCCTGTGCCAGAGTTATAAACTGCTATAAACGGCTGTGCAGTATCTGAGAGGATTGTTCAGAGCCATGCATCAGTTTCTCCACCTGGACTTCCTGCAGTCTATTTCATGTCTCAGCAGTACCTGAAGTCCACCAACACAGCCCATTACATTGTTATGCCCCCGGCCCAGTGACAGTCAGGGCCGCAGACAGGTTGTTCGTCCGTCCCATCCTCGTGGACAGAAGGTAACAGTAACACCTTGAGGAAACTCCTTTAAATTTGGCAGAAACATTCACTTGGACTCAAGAATGAACTGATTCAAATTAGGTGGTCAAAGGTGAAGGTCACTGTGACCATGTTTTTGGCCATAACTCATAACTCACAAATTCATACACTAATTATGACACAATTTAACACAAATGTGTAACAGGAAACTAGAATCATCTCTTTGCAGTTGTATCTCTCCACCAACCAGCAAAGTTGCACGAAATATTGTTACAGTCTCCCCTTCCTACAGCACTGAATAATGTCCAAAAGTGTTTTTGCAGAACATTATGATGTCACAGTGAAGTTGACCTTTGACTCTTTGGATATGAAATGTTACTTCATTTTATCCTTATAGACATTTGAGTTAAATTGTGTCATAATTAGTCAATTAATTTTTGTGAGTTTCGGCCAAAAATGTGTTTTGTGAGGTCACAGTGACCTTGACCTTTGACCATCAAAATCTAATCAGTTCATCTTTGAGTCCAAGTGAATGTTTGTGCCAAATTTAAAGAAGTTCCCTCAAGACGCTACTAAGAGATCACGTCCACAAGAATGGACGGACAACCGGAAAACTATATGCCTCCGGCACAGAGGCATAAAAATGATGAAGTGCTGACATTTTATTACCAAAAGGTCAAAGGTCAACTTCACTGTGACATCATAATAATGATCAGCAATGCAGTATTTTTACATTTAAGCTATGTCTAATTTTGGCCTAAAAGCTCTATGCAGACATTTCCTCTGCTACATGTGGAACAGGCAACATGTGGAGAAGACAATATTTTTACTTTTTACTCCTGCCTGTTCCTCTGTGCAGAACTGTCTGGTCCGCTGTGACAATGGCATGTTCACTGCAGTGGTGGGAGACTTCGGCCTGGCAGAGAAGATCCCTGATTACAGGTCAGTGTGGTGAAACCCAGAATCCTGATTCCTCCTCTGCTGTCGTCGTCTTCATGAAATAACTGTATTCAGAGAGAAAGTCTGATGTCACTCTGATGTGACCCAGTTAGTAGAGACTGTGTGACAGATGAGTAGTTGTTAGTTGTCCTTCAACAGGTGATCATGTGTAATTCAGATATTAAGAGACAAAGTTGATGTGTCAGAGTCATCTCATTCTGTTTTTTACCTTATATTTCAATAATTTATTCCAAGAGCAGATTCAAACATTTATATATATATATATATATATATATATTATATATTATTATAATTAACTAATCATTCTCACTGCTGTTATTTTGTTCCCTGTGCATGTAAAACAAAGCATCTAAAATGATCCGTGTGAACAGAGTGAAACAGTAAAAGCTGCTTCTGCTGGATCTTTGCTTCACACATCATCTCGGTGTCTTTGCAGTGACGGTGTGGAGAAGCAGCCTCTGGCTATCGTGGGCTCCCCGTACTGGATGGCTCCTGAAGTCCTGAGGGGAGAGCTGTACGATGAGAAGGTAAACCTGCTTTACCTTTAATACTGCGCTGTGCTGCAGTGTTAAAGCAACACTGTGTGACTAGATTCTGCTGTTACGACTTATAACTCTTGTCTTTTATTCTGTGTCATAAGTCGTAAACACCAGGTTCCTTCCCCAGGGCCAGTTTAGAGGATAGTCAGGTCAGTTTGGTTCTTAACTCAGGTTTTGGTAACCCGGGTAGATCACCATGGTAACCTAGGCTGTACAGCAAGCCTTCTTCGGAGCAGGTCAACTTCAACAGCCAAGCTACTGACCAATCAGATCACTGGATAGACTGAGTCACAGTTCCTACAGGATCCTGACGAGGACAAAAGGAATGCAATATATAAATATTGAATAATATATATAAATATATAAATATTTTACAAACTCCAAGACTTTCACTGTGTTCACTCTGGTTTTAAGAGACATTTTCTGGGCCGCCCCAGTGGCTCACCTGGTGGAGCGTATGCCACTTGGGCTCAGTCCTTATCGTGGCAGCCTGGGTTTGAGTCCAGTCTGGGTTCTTTGCTGCGTGTCATCCCCTCTCTCTCTCCCCAACTTTGCTGTCACTCTCTCACTGTCTCTATCCAATAAAAGGCATAAACTACCAAAATAATAACATAAAAAAAGACAGCGTTTATGAAACTAAATATAATAATTACTATTACAGCTTTTTAAGTGTCTCTTATTCCTGCAGGGATTCCTGACAGTGTTGATGCTTTTGCACCAGTGTTTCTCAAACTCCTGAGAGCCAGAGTGAAGAGTGACGTGGTCACGTCTCTTGGCTCTGGTTAAAAGTCTGGTACAGTCTGGAGACAATCAAAAGATTTCTGGTTGAGACCAGTAAAAATACAAATACCAGCAGCTTTAACCTACAACTGTTGGCACTGGTAGCAGTTCAGTACTGTGTGAATTCCTGCAGGGTCAGAGCTGACAGTCATTCTCTCCTCTGCTCAGGTGGATGTGTTTGCGTACGGCATCATCCTGTGTGAAATCATCGCCCGGATTGAAGCTGATCCTGACTTCTTACCCAGGACAGAGGTAGGAGTCTGCAGTGGGGTGCTGGGTGTGTGTGTGTGTGTGTGTGTGTGGTAATTTGTGCAAGGTGTAATTGTAATGATAATTATGCTGCTTTATACAAGCTTTATCTGCACACTGTGTTTAGTTTACAGATTTGTAACAGCAGGACACATGGAGGAGTCAAGGTTTTACACTGAGTCACTGAAACACTCTGTGTGTGTGTGTGTGTGTGTGTGTGTGTGTGTGTGTGTGTGTGTGTGTGTGTGTGTGTGTGTGTGTGTGTGTAGGACTTTGGTCTGGATGTGGATGCATTTGAGAACATGGTTGGGGACTGTCCACCTGCGTTCTTTAGCCTCGCGGTCACCTGCTGTAACGTGAGTACACACATTGTCTCAGCTCAGTCAAAACACAAACTACTAAGGTCTCTAAATGAATGACACTTTTATTAACGAGATACTCAGTCAACACCATCATCATCACATGGTATGTGGATGTTTTTCAGATGAGTGCAGAAAGGCGCCCCACGTTCGCTGACATTGTCTTCACACTGGAGCGCATGGAGATTGAGGAGGAGAGTGAGAAGCCCGTCGAACTCGGTGGGTCAAAGGATGAAATGAACAGTTTTTTAAAAATGTTCTTTTAAAGTACTTGTGTTTTTACAGCATGAGTGTCATAAAACATGTCATTAGTTGTTCTTGACTTCAGTATTAGCCATATGATAAGATATGCGCTGACAACATGTTGCAGCAAGTCCTTGTAGCTCGTAGTTTTTTGCAATAGATTTGTATATATTAGTATATTTTTTGTCGATTGATGTTTTTTATTCTACATCATCGTTTCGTCTGACGATGGAGAAAATAATGTAGACAAAGGAAGAACTCCTGGCTTTAAAGCTTACGAGATATGGAGTTAAACATCCCATACCGGCTGAGCTGAAGAAGCCGTACCGTGGATGCAGAGCCGGGGCTAAGCTAAAGGCTAGGAGATGGAGATATAAGCCTTTTCTACCATCGATCCTCATGGGAAATGTCAACTCCCTGGCCAACAAGTGTGATGAAATGTAGGCACTTGTGAAGAACCAGCGAGCATCCATCTATCTATCTATCTATGTATGATGTACGTAAACGCACCATCCCTCTGTGTTGAACTAGAACGTCTGCGTCATAGTAAACAAACGGTTAGAAAAGAAGAAAAGAAAATGTTATAGGGTGAATGTGATGCTGAGGAGCTGATGCACCAGTTAGAGCCGCAGTTTACTGAGACTGCGTCCACATTACTACGTTTTAAAACGCATCTCTTTTGCTATGTTTCCACCTGCTGTGCAAACAACTCTGGAGCTTTCGAGCACCGAAAACTGAGACTTTCAGAATCTCTGGTGGACCCGTTTTATTTTAACATCACATTGTTTAATTTTAAAATCATGTGAAAACCTTCAACCCCTGGTAGCAGCATGTGTCATTTATATTTTCTGTCACTTTCTCACCTCCACCTCTCTCATCCTCCTCCCTCTTCTCTCCTCCCTCCTTCCTCCTCCTCAGAGCCGGTGGCAGTGGACGTCAGCCCCTACCGGCGCCGCAGCTCTCCATGCCACCCCGCTGACCGCAGCCAGCAACGGCAAGGATTGGCGAGGAGCCAGTCAGACATGTTACCCCCGGCGACCCTGACCCCCCCTCTCCTGGGTACCCCTGCGAGGGTCAACCCCTTCTCTCTCAGACAGGACCTTAACGGGGGGCGGTGTAAACTCTTAGACACACCCAGCAAGTCCGTCATCTCCCTGACCTTCACTCTCCCAGCGCTTCGCGACCTGTGCGCCTCCCCTCATCTTCTCAGAGGGACGCCGGGGATGCGACCGCCGCAGAGGAGGTGCCAGTCGCTCCCTTGCACCCCAGAGCTCAGCCGGACTGTAGCCTCGCCAAGAGACACGGAGGGGAAGGAGGAGGACAAGGACAAGGACATCAGAGTGGCAGAGGATGTGGAGGACAGGAGCGAGAAGACAGAGTTGTCAGAGAGGGTGGATGAGAGGCTGCAGGTGGAGGTAACTGAGAGGAGAGAGCTGTTACGGGAGGAGGCGGGACTGGGGGAGGATTCAGGTCTTCCTGTGGAGTTGGAGATGGTCTCTCTGGAGCGGCTGGAAGAGGAGGACGAGGACGAGGAGAGTGTGAGTCTAACAGAACCCATGGACTGCACCAAGTCTCCAGAGCCGGCAGAAGGAATCCTGGACTGCATACCAGGAAGACCCCTGCTCACCTCCTCCTCCTCCTCCTGCTCCTCTGTACGAACCAATGGCTGGCGACTTCCCATCTGCAACGGACCGCGCTCCTCGCCTCCTCTGCCACGGCTGGACAACAACAACGGTTCAGCCCTCGTGATTGGCCAGCAGGTGCAATGGGGTGGGGGAGGGCAGGCTAATGGTTACAATGGAGCCCAGGTCCTGTCCTCAGACCCTGGCGGCCCCGCTGAGCAGGATGAGGTCATTTCCTGTCCAGGCTGCTGTCTGGTAGGTCTGAGTTTCCCCTCAGTGTGCCTCCGTGGTTCAGCTGCCGTGCCTGCCCCCCGCCGAAGGGCTTCGTTACCACGGCAGCGACCCTACCGCAACCTCAACGGTACCATCACCGGTGGCAGCACTTCGTCGTCAGCAGTAGCCGCCATGGCAACCAAAGCTCTGCTGTGTCGCAGCACAAATGGTCTGGTAGTGGCCGGGCCCTCGGTGCCATGTGAGCCTGGCCGCTCACTGCCAGAGGCCCAGACTTAGACCCGCTCAGAGGGGGACGGACAGACACGGCCCCTGGCCTCTGAGATGTGAATTTAAAAAACAGGGAAGCATGTTAGAGTGCCACCTGGTAGGCTGGAGGAGTAAACACAACAAATCAATGTGACAGTGAAGAAGGAGGAGGCGGGAGGTGGAATGAACTCAGCTGGACCGGAAGGGGGCCAAAGGTCATGGTCAGGGTCAACTACACATCACTGCTGCTAGAAAAGGTGCTGACCCAAACAGAGCAGCTAGTCCGACCAACAGCGACAAGCTCTTTCTCTGCTGAACCACATCAAACCCAACTCAACCGGCACTCCACTGTGCCGGCCTCAGTCCTGCAGGCCGACATGACTGAGTGAACAACTTATAGATTACTGTCAGTTTATTATAACCTGGCTCTTATTTTTGTAGTTCTGGCCAGTGGAGCGAGCAACATTCAGATGAGTCTGATTTGTAAGAGAAACAGATGGTGGACAGGAGAATAATGTGCATGACTGTCCATTGTAAACATCCATGACAGTTTACAGACCTCTGTCCTCTCTCAACAACGTCACCATCATGGATATAAATGCTGGTCAAAGCTACAAAAATAGGTCCCTTATAACTAATACAGCTAATAAACAGGGATTATCCTTTACTAGTACAGATGTCTTTGGTAACAGGTAATTCACTGTCCCTCGCTTTATGGAGGACGTTTGGTAGAACTGCTGTTGTGCACTGCAGTCCAGGTTCTTGGTGGCAGGAACAGAAAATGACAGAGTGAATGTGGTTTACCTCTGCCAGCACAGTGTGACTGCGGGTGATGTGCACCTGCAGCACAGTTTTTGATTCTATTTAACTGATTAACATTAGCTACAGGGGGAATATTTATAAAAATGAATAAAGATTAACTTACATTTACATTTATTTATTTACATTTTTATAGCAGCTGACCTGTGTGTGTGTGTGTGTGTGCGTGCGTGTGCGTGCGTGTGTGTGCGTGTACGTGTGTGTGTGTTTGTGCGCGTGTGAGAGAGAGGGAGAGAGAGACTGTTGCTTCGGGGGGACTTAAGGGAAAAACTGTCTCGTAAACTCTTTATTTTTGCACTTGAGTTGGGAGCACTTTGCAGTGAGACACCATGCTTTTACTCGAGGTGGTGCTTTATCTGTGCTTCTGGTGTTTTATATGTGCGTCTGGCCCAACAGACAACCCCCCCACATGTATTGTGTGTGTACATATGCATTTTGATGACACTGTTGTAACTCGGCATGTGAAGCAGGTTTGAATATTTATTGTACAGATCATTCCACACACTGTGTGTGTATGTGCTTTTGAGCGAGAGGTAGAGTGACGGATACTTGACAGGATCACTCTCGTCCCTTCATTTCTCACGTTAAAACACGGTAATTGCTTCATTTCCATGTTTTGTTCGATACAGCTAGAAACCTGCCTGCAATAATCTGGTAATAAACAAATATGGTTGTGAAACACTGTTCTGTTTTTCATTAACATTTCCCAGGTAGTTGAAACTATCAGAGCACCAGAAGGGAGATGATAGTTTGGTGGAGGGAACATTTTCTTTTATGGAAAATCAACATCATAAAGTTAATAAAGTTTATATTAGTGATAAGTAATAATTAATGATTAATTAAAGTAAGCCAGAGTTAAGTTCCAATGAAAACATTCCTTGTAGAAATCTTAATTGTACTGTAATTATCAATACTTAAAAAAATCACAGCAGTTACAGTATTTCTGTATTTTAAAACTATTGCTTGGTGACTGCTTTGTTGTGACATCACAACATCACCAGCTGACGGCTGGTTTTAAGGCTCAGTTTCTGAATACAGGCTGTGAGCATTTCTCTGTGGACTGAGGCTTTGAATCTTTCACAGTATTAATATAGAAGCTAGACCTGATCTATAATCAAACAACACATGGACATCTACCTTTAGACTGTATGTACCTTTAATTTCAGGAACAGAAATGAAGTCAAACGCTTTTTTGAAATCTACAAAACAAGGAAAGATGATGTCGTTGTTCGTTAGTCAGAGTGTGGAGGGTGTAGACATGATTCTGCAGCCGCCTGCAAGACTTCCTCAGAGAATAAGTCAACGTCAAGGAGATCTCTCTCTGTCTCTGTCTCTCTCTTTCCGTGGACGCGGACGCCACACGCCCGCGCACACCAGCCTCCTCTCTCCGTGTCCGTGCAGCGCGGGAGCATTTTGCCATCGCGTGTCAAGGACAGGACAAATGCCAGTGTCTCAGAGAGGAACATCAACAACATGTCCCCGCCGGTATGATGGATGTAGGGAGACACACCTGCACTGAGCGGTACGTGTCTGTTCTTCCTGTCTGCAGGATTCGAACTTACTGGGCGTGTATCTGTGCTTTGACCGGTACAGTTTCCATTCATTTGTCCATACAGGCCTTACTCTGTGTTTCAGACCGTTGTGTGATCACGCCTTCGTTGCAGTGGCTAAAGATGGTGTGTTCACGAGCTCTACCAGACAGGTACTGTCTGCTCCCCTCAGTTTAAGGAGCGAGACTCATCTAGGCAGGGGTGTTGTCTTCTTCTCTCTCAGCTCACTCCTCTATGAGACATCGTCCTGTTTGTGTCTCCTTTCATCACAGTGTCTCCAAAAATCACATATTCAGTTTTCTATATATTGTATTTGATCCAGGCTGGCAAAGATTTCTGGTCCACTTTTAGAGAAAAAACAAAATCTACATTTGAAAATTTGCCACTGATTTAAAACCACAGACCTTCTTCAGTATTTTTTCTATCTATCTATCTATCTATCTATCTATCTATCTATCTATCTATCTATCTATCTATCTATCTATCAACATATATATCCTATATGATATAAAACTAAAATGATAAAGCATTAAAAGCATTTAAGTATGCAAATATTTGACGTTTACGAATCCCTCTGTTATTTATTGAAGCCCAGCATTTGAAGTTGGTTTGGGCCGATATTCATTAATATAGAATATCGCAATATTTCCCCACCATACGCACTATTTTTCACATTAAATTGTTTTCTATGCAGTGAGTGATCGAAATTGGAGTGTCAGTGGCTGTATATTATTATTATGGTATATTATTATTATAGTGAAAAGGAGAGAGGCTATGGTATTTTCAATAATAATAAAGACAACAACAACAATGATGTACCTACGAAGTGAGTGAGTGTGGATGAGAGGGTCCTGGTAAAGTTGTCATTATGGTGGTAAGTGTTAAGGGTGTACGGTAGCCCTGTTGATAAATGGTCCAGAGCCTTTGAAATGAATGTGTCTGGTTGTTTTTTGTCTTTCTGTTGAGATTTGTTCATGTGGTAGATGATGCCACGGGGAGGACGACAGGTTGTAGGGCTGCTCGGTTATAATGCAAAGTCATAATATAATAATAAAATAGTAAAGACTGAATTTAAGAAGAAAAAGAACAATGAGCTGGATAATGGGCAGTTTCATCATTAACCCGTGTGTGTGTGTGTGTGTGTGTGTGTGTGTGTGTGTGTGTGTGTGTGTGTGTGTGTGTTTGTGTGTGTGTTCCACGGTGCTCCAAGGCGTGTGAGAGCGCTGCCCCGCCCCTCACACACAGGGTCAGAGAGAGAGATGCAGATGAACTTCTGCGTAGGGAAAAGCGAAAATGCATCATAGACGAATGTCTTCATCAGAAACGGAGGTGGTGAATGTGAAAGTGAACTTTCATGTTGCAACAACAAATAAGAAATCTATTTTCCTAATTCCTTCAGTACCGAGAGCGGAACGGATAATGTTGGATGTTTTTTGTAGGGAAGCTGAAATTTGTTGTAAAACCGAACGCCGCACAATAATCGTTTTCTCTCGTTTCTCTTGTTTTTATAATCGTTGGAGGCCAAAATCGTAATCGAGCATAAAATTCGATTAATTGCACAGCCCTAACAGGTTGTCTCTGTTTTTTCACTATAGAAGTTTTGTCTTTGTTAAGGTGACCAATCTGGGTTGTGTGTAGTTCAGGGGCAGTTCAACAGATGGGAGATCTTGAGCCTGGTACGCTGCGCCCCGTGGAGGAGTGTGGTCTCTGTCCAAAGAGGTAGAATTACTGCCTGTTTTTATTAGAGGTCTGTAAATTTTGGAAAATGTTTTTTGAGTTTAAATTCTGAAATTTGCCGTGGTTTGAATATCAGCTGAAATATAACATTTACTTAAAGGTGCAGTTCAGGGTTTGAGCAAAATATTTTGAACTCAACAGCCAATCAAACTACACCACTCCTTCCTTTCCGTGCTTGTTACGTGTTGATTGGCTGGAGCAGTCTATGGTTTGGTCTCTTTTTTCCATTTACAGATCCAGGACCATAGATGAACTGAATTTAATATAATTGTATTATTGTATTTTATGTTTAAGGTATAAGCGATGCTGCTGATTTGTCACAGACTGAGGATCAGTGTATAGTGAGCACAGCAGTGAAATGAGGGTCAGACTGTGCACAACTGAAAATATTCATAATAATTATATAATTCAATATTATCAAACATTGGCCCAGACTTAATATGCTTCACACACATTTTCTGTCCACTCACCACAGTTCCAAGATTTCACCAGTTCACTATCAGACTCAATGTGAAATATTGACCAGATAACCTCAACTAAAACCAAAAGCTGTATCTGTTCCAAAGATCGCCTCCTCCTGGCTGCATCCTAACATCTGTCCAGGAAGTCTGTGTCTCCCATGTGTGCGTTGTGAATTGAGGAGAAGGACGCACATTTCTCTCCTTGTAGGGTACTCAGGTACTTTGTCTGAAGCACACTGAAGCGTCTGAAGCCTTTATCTTCTCCACAGTGCCAGTACTGTGTTTGTGGAGATATCTATTTTTAGTTTGTTTTTTATATTTACCTTCTTTTTCAGGTGAGTATCACTGAGAGCAAAGCTGTCTTTTTTGTCATCAAATGTTTTTGTTTTCTGTTTTAACAAAAAAGGTCATGAACATAATGATGTGCAGCCAGTAAATTGAACATTGGTACATTTTTGTACCTTCTTATCTGGACCTCTAAAAGAACATTTCTGTAGGGGTACATGCTCTAGCCACGGAGGCACCTCCAGAGTTGCTACCTTATGAGGGACAGTTGGTGCTATGTGCATTTTGTACCTTTTTATGAGGCAAAAACATTAACAGTTAATGACCAAAATTTATTTTAACTGACAATTATTTTACACCTTTAAACAAAATCAACATTTTATATGTAAACTGATCCATTTTCAGTGTGTTTCAATGTATTGTTCTGATAGAACTGATTTGTTCCAGCACATGAGAAAAAGCAGCTATTCAACATTAAGTTGAAGCATTAGACCTGAGGAGCCATTCTCTTATCACTGATTACAACCAAGAGAAATTTCATTTTGGTTTCAGACACAAAACAGGAACAAAGTTCAGTAAAAGTACATTTACAAAACACAAATTCATGACTCGCATACTCTTTAACAGTGGCTTTGTGAGCCTACCTCATGACCCTACAACATTATTAAAACCATTAGAACAATGTAAAGACTAGCTGGGGCACTCCCATGTCATGTGAAGATATGTGTCTTAACCTTAATTTAGATAGATTGTTTAGATACATTGAGTGATGACCCATCATAATACAAAAATCAGTTCCTAATAAAACATTCACAAACATTAAGATTTAAAAGCGTATTTCTAAACTATCCCAGTGTTTTCTGGGAGTCAATATTTAAAGTGTGTTGAACATGGTGTGATCCAGTCCTGAGAGCAGGTTTGATGTGCACCCACACTGAGATCTATCAGTGATGTGAAGTGATTTGGTCATTTGTTTAAGAGTGTTGATCTCGTCTCACAGAGAGAGAGGACCAGCCGACCTTTTCATACAGAGTGCAGTGATGGGGGTTGTAGGCAGCCCCAGTGATAAATCTGATGGAGGCTGCATTAAGTATTGGTAGAGGGTGGACACCACACCCCTTGTGATGTGTGGGCAGCAGATGCTGAAAGGCACACTGTGCACCATAGTAGTTATAAATCAAACAGAAGGATGAGCCTGGTGGATTGAAGCTGTTCCTAATGTCCTGAAAAGAGTGTAATCCATCTATGTCAAAGATGCCCTCATGCTTCCACTGAGGAAAAATCAACAGATCAATGCTGTCACACACACACACACACACACACACACACACACACACACACACACACACACACACACACACACACACACACACACACACACAAGCTGCTCAGTACAACCACAGTCTGGGATCAGTTACACAAAGACTTTGACTGTGGCTTAGATAGAACAAACCGTCAGACTTCAGATAGACGTATAAATTCACCTGTTGCACAAAGCACTTTAGTCCTTGACTACCTTAAGCAGGACTTTGGACAATGAATTCTGGGAAAATTAAGACTTTTTTCAATAAAAAGAAGAAAAAAAAGGCAAACTGCGGAGTGACTGCAGTCTCTAAAAACTCTTTCTTTTCTCTTTGCTCTCTCCATAACAATGTTAGCAAACCACAAATTATGAGCCATGTTTTCCTGTTTTTTGTTTTTGGGTGCTACTGGTCAGCGCAGGTATCATTGATTGTTACCATGGTAACAACATGGTCTTAGGCCTGAGTTAGCCTGGTGGTAAGGTGTCTAATGTTTTTGGCTTAAAATGAGTCAGTCTTTATTCTAGTGAAACAGTCTGACAACATCAGACTGATCTGTGAATAAAATGAAGACTGGACCAACACTACAGACCAGTCTGAAATATCTGTGTGAAACTTGCCCCAGGTCAGTTGTCCCGGCGTTTCCTCTGCTGAGGACAGAAGAAAAGTGTAGGACAGAGAAAGACATGAAGGGAGTGTGTGAGATCAGCACAGTATCGAGGTCCAGCTGGGTTTTGTGACATCAGTAAACCCACCTGTTATTTACCTGAGTGAACTGTGTCACATGATGGTGCTGTCTCTATCTGTCTCACTCAGGAGGTCAGTGATGACATCACCTGGATATTGTCTGACACTTCCCAGTTCCTAACCACATTACCATGGCAACAGGAAGAAAAGGTAAGATTGACGCTGCTTGTGTGTTGATGTGTGTCTGTGTGTGTGAGTGCTGCTGTTGATCGGCGTACAGTTACTGTATGTGTGGCTTTAACCAGCAGGGGGCAGCGTGCTTCACACAGTCAGAGAACTGGGCTGAGAAAGTCTGTATTTTCTTCTGAACGTTCAAACTGAGTGAAACAGTCTGAAGTATCTGAGCAGCATCATGATCACAGCTGAGGAAAGGAGCTTCCCTGCTTCCTATCTTATCTCCTTTAGCAGAGAAAACACTAGAGTTACCTTCATGAAAGGAAAAAAGTCCCACAATTCCTTGCTGCAGCAACATTAAAAGTGACGCACCATCGTAGTTTCACTACAGCAGAGCCACATTAATGTAGAATCAAGGGCAGCTGTTTTATGTTTGATGGAAATCGCTGAAGCCCATATCCATAAATATAGATTTATTCTCTTTAAATCCAGTTAGGAGTCATCATGAAGAACAAGCAGATCATCCTTATCATCATCATCATCATAAGAATGTATACATAAATGTTAACAAATGTATAAAGTCAAAACTCTATATAGCCTACTTATGTTTGAATATAATATAATACTCACTTATTTTTATTTAATTATTATTTTAACATTTTAGTCCTTTTTGTTTTTGTGGTTAAAGGAGGATTTATCGTCCATGTGTTGTAAATAAAATTGACTTGAAAAAAAAAAAAAAAAGAAAAATCCCAGTGTAAGTTGAGTCAGATTCTTTTTGGTCTAGGAACAGTGCTTAGGAAAGGAGATTATTTTGACTTTTCGACCAGCTCCCATCATGGCTGCCGCTTTGATACTTCAGCTCATTTCACTGTGTCTGGAAACTTCCTATGCAAAAAAGACTTTTCCATCGCAGCCTGGATTCCTGGTTCAGATTGGTCAGCTTCTCCCAGATTCCTTCGGGGTCTGTCTCCCCCTTTCCAGAACAAACAGTGATGTTGTCATAGCTAGTACTACTACTACAGTCCAGTGCTTACAATGTATTCTCAGCTCACTCATCATGTTTTGAAATTCAACATGTCACAGTGGGTGGGGGAGAAAATTCAAGGAATCCTCAAGCCCTATAACAAAACCTACCTTCAACATAACACTGTGCTTTTTCACAATGAGATTTGTCCACTAATTGGTTGTAGTTGAGTAATTACAGTGGTGTCATCCAGGAAGTAGGAAGTAGTTCACTTGCTGTCCAGATGTTTCTGTTGACTCACATCAGCTTTACAGGGATTTACAAAACATGATTTAAAGCTTTTATTTTCTCTCCATCACCAGGCTCCACCTCCAAAGGTGGGGTGCATTTCCCTGACGACAACGAGCCCCCTGGCTCTCCCACGCGGAGAGATGATCAGTCCAACCTCTCTACTCTCATTGCTATCCCAGAAAAGGACGGCAGCTACTTGGTCAAGGTGTGTCATGTGTGTGTGCTCCTCTGTGGCCCATGATATTCATGCTCTCGTTTGCACATGATTTAGTCACCATTCACAGAAAATTAGGGGTGTCACCAGGATGATAAGATACACTGGTCTATCTCAGGGGTAAAATAAAATAATAATTTAAAATAATAAAACTGAGACTGCTGCTGGGCGTCCACACATTTTCTTTTTTTCTTTTTATTTGGTGAAACAAGATAAAGACAAAGAAAGCGATAACATAACATAATGTAACATGATGGCATACACTACTACAGAGAACAACTTTAGATTTAGATATATGACTTACATATATTTGCATTTGAGAGGGACAGAGAAATGGGGAAAGAAAAACAACAACAAAAAAAAGGAAATAAACAAATCAGGTATTAGGTATTCATTTATCTATTTATTTATTTTCAAAATGTATTTTCACGATTTCAAAACAGTAGTCATGAGTAGTTGGACTGGGATAAAAATTCAGCCCTGGGTTTTGGTTGAATAATGCCAATTTAAAGATTACCAGAAGAAGAAGGAACAGTCTAACCCCCATCACCTTCAGACCATGTGGTGATGTCCAGCTTGACCAGACTTCACTCGATAAAACTTTTTTTTGTCTTTTGTGCTTACGTGGCGTTTGTGTCGGAGTCGGTGTTGTGTTCAAAGCCTTTTGTTTGTTGATGTTAGCGGACTCCATTTCTAAGCTAACGTTAGCTGCTGTTGTGCAGTGTTAGTGCTGTGGGGGAGTAAATGCAGAGCCCAGACTGAGATGATTCACCTGTGACAGTAACACTAGCTCTCTTTTTCCCTTAAACCCCCCCCCACCCCCCACCCCACAGGCTGGTTTCCTGAAGAGCCACCACTGTTATGAGATTGTGTTCAGTGTTCCAGATGTACCCACAGTGGGTAAAGACCTCTCCTGTCTTCCTTCCTCTTCTCCGACTCGGAGGCCCCCCAGCCTCCGGGTCCACCGTATTAACTCCACACTGGAGGGTAAGTCCAGACCTCAGTGCAGGAAAAGCAAAGTCATTATTTGATTAAAGGTATAGTTCAAGTTTTTTGATGTGTTGCGTGAGGTACTCATGAATAGTCGGTACATCACCCACAGTAGATTCTGTTCAGCACTTCCATAACTGGATGAGTGCCCTCCAACGGCTGAGGGGTCACTAAAATGAAAATGGTTTATTCCTTTAGGATCATTAATGTGCTCAGTATTCACATTTTGAGGCATTTGGGTTGCCTCAAGTTTGGGGACGGGGGTGGTAGTTGGGTTTACAATAGCATTTCGGGGAAAAAATCCATTATAGCAGACATCTATCTGATAATGTTGTAACCAAGTTTGAGGAAAATGAAGTAAAGATTTCCGTTGTTTTTTACTTCAATGCCATGTGTCCTTCAGAGGAGGACAGCGATCTCAACTTTACACCCACACAAGTCGAGGATGTTGTTGATAGTGTTGCAGCCTCACTGTGTACAACACCAGACACTACAGCCTCAATGAAAAAGGATGTAGTGAATCAGATGAGTCTCCAAGGTACAATTCACAAACGTGTCATGAAAGCTAGAAAGGAGGTGGTGCTTCACCAATCTGGAAGAATGTCACCTTCTTCCTGGAAATAAAGTCTAATAACATGTAAAGCTAGAATCACCTCCTCATGGTTGTATCCCTCTGCCACTCAGACTAGATTCAGGTTACATCCCTGTTTATCCAGAGTCATAAAATATGAACCATTGGTGTGAAATCTTGAGTGTCACAGGACCTGTCTAGTCTCATCCTGATGGTGGTGACCAAGATGCCCCCCCCACGCCCACCCCCCGGCTAGATCGCTAGCAAACAAAACTTTTATTCTAAATGATTTCTTCACCTCCCGTGGATTGATTTCCTCTGTGTGACTGAAACTTGGCTGAGAGTTGGTGAGTCCAGCGCTTTCTCTGAACTGGTGCAGTGCTTTCTGATCATATGCCTGTCCTATTTGAGATCTCTCTTCCCAGTCATACCGTTAGACCCTGTGCTCCTGCTCGGCGCTGTCGTGTGTTTAACTCTTCCACTGCTGTTCAGTTCTCGGCTGCTTTCAATAATAACTTTGAAATTAACCCGGGGTCCCCCATGTGCTCTGATAAGCTGCGTTTTGACCAACTTTTCTTCATGAACTAAAAGGTTCCTGTGGCCCATTGTTGTCTGTTGTCCACCGCGGCCTAAAGTCCTGGGAAAATTATGTAACATTATTACTTGACATTACATTACATTATTCACAGCACTTGAGGACATAACTTGAACGAAAATATGGAACAAATAGTGTCCCGTATATATTCAATAGCCTACAGGACGCAGTATTTTATTTTCAAATAGTCTACGATCCTGTATTATACTTGTCGGGTGGCAACCCTTGGCACTCCGGCTGTTGTGGTCCTTTATTTTTTTACTTTCTTTTAAGTACTGTTGCAGTTTTTTTACCCTTCTCCTGGACCTGCTTCGCGGTGAAGAAAATGTGTTTGCTTGCTGCAGACTTTTAAACATCGCAGGTGAAAGAAAATGCAGCAAGTACTCGACCAGTCAGAAATGTTCAGCACTGCAGACCAAACCCCCCAAAGTTACTGAACCATTGGAAAGTACTACCCCTCGACCAGGTATGTTTTTCGGGGTCGATCAGTTACCCCGAAACTAAATTTAGACCCTGGTTCCTGCGGTCTAAACACGCATAGTTCCTCAAAAGGTTCCTGGTTCCTGGGGAAAGTTCCTGCGGTGGAAACGTGGCTGTAGTGAGGAGTTAACCTCTAGGTTTCACTCAACTTGCCAAAACATCTTGGACATTGTGGCTCCATTAAAGGCTGGCGCTCCAAACCTAAACCTGAGCCTTGGTTAAATGATGCTACTCGTGGTGTCAGACGAGAGTGCAGGAGAGCTTAACGCAAGTGGAAAAAGGACAAGCAGCCGTTGTTATCATAAAACTGTGAAAGCTGCAAAGATCAAAGATATTATTTTATCTAATTCTCACAAGCCTTGTGTTCTTTTTAGTAGCCTTCCTATTAGCTCTATTTCCTAATGCTCCCCAGTCTGTCTCTCTGGAAGCCTCCTGTGAAGTTTGTGAAAATTTTCTCCACTTTTTTTGTGGATAAGATCGCGACCACTAGAGCCCTCATCTCACCCCCTTCTTATGACCCGTCCATGTCTGTCCTCTGCTCTGCTGCCTTTAATCAGTTTGAGCCTGTATCTATCTCTTTTTTAGAAGAGATTGTTGGTCATATGAAACTCTCAGGTGCTCCCACAGATGCTAACCCCCCTTGCCCTTTTTTTCCACCATAGGACCATCTGTCCTTGCTATTATTAATAGCAGTCTGGTACCTGAAAATTTTAAACATGCTGTTGTGCAGCCACTGATTAAAAAACCTGGTCTAGACCCCTCAGCTCTCTCTAATCTCAGGCCTATATCCAAGTTCCCGTTCCTTTCTAAAAGCCTGGAGAAAATTGTTTTCACCCAATTAAAGGCATTCTTAGACCAGCATGATATTCTCGATGTGTTCCAGTCTGGGTTTAAAAATTTTCACAGTACTGAATCAGCACTCTTAAGTGTTTTCAATGATATCCTCTTAGCTCCTGATTCTGGTGACTGTGTCATCCTTGTGCTTTTAGACTTAACTGCTGCCTTTGACACAGTGGACCACAATGTTCTCATCTCTCGTCTAGAGCACAGGGTGGGCATTAATGGTGCAGAACTGGATTGGTTTAGGTCCTACCTGGCTGAAAGAAGTTATTGTATAGGCCTTAGTGATTTTGTGTCCTCTTCCATGCATCTCCACTGCGGGGTGCTGCAGGATCCGATTCTTAGGCCCCTTCTTTTTTGGCTTTATTTGCTCCCCCTTGGTCCTATTTTCAGAAAACATGGCATCTCGTTCCACTGTTATGTGGATGACAGTCAAATTTATGTCCCCCTGAAGCAGAAAGATGCATACTCTGTTACTAGAGTGTCTCAATGACATCAAAGCGTGGACGGCATTAAGTTTTTTGAATGTTAATTCTTTAAACTGAAGTAATGTTGTTAGGATCCAGTGGTACCCGTGATATCCCTCCTATGAACCTGGGTTCTTTGGCACCTCTATTTAAATCCCACAGTTACAAATCTGGATGTGAAAATGGACAGTGATTTTAAACTGGATAAACAGATCAGCTCTGTTGTAAAATCCAGCTTTTTTCAATAGAGCAGTTATCCTTGTATAGTCTGTTCTGTCGAGAAAGGATTTTGAAAAGGTGATACATGTCACACTGCGGTGAGGTCAAGTTGGGTTTTTGTCCTGTCTCCATGTTTTGTCTTGTCATTTCCTGTTTTATGTTGAAAAGTAACTCTCCTCTCGTTTCAGGTCACTTGCCCTTCCTCACGTGTCACCGGTCTGATTGTCTTCCCTGATTCCCGATTGTGTCCACCTGTTCCCCATTACCCCCATGTGTTCAAATAGTCTGCGTCTCCCTTTGTCTTGTTGCCAGTGTGTTCGTCTTCGTCCTTGTCTACATGCGTTCACCCCAGCCTTTCCACAGTCTTGACCTTAGTCGTTTCATGAATTTTGTTCTGAGTCCTCCAAGAGAGAGATTTTGAGTTGTAAGTTTCATATCTTAGTTTTATTCCATAGTTAATGTTTTCACAGCCTTTTGTTTCCGCCGTGTGGAGTGATCCTTTGTTTGTTTATCTTTTCATAGATTAGTGCCTCCAGTTTCAGGAGAGTTTTCTGTTGTCTCTACCTCATTTTGCTACTTCTTTTTCCTCCGTAGCAGGAGTGATTTTCTGTTACTGTTAACGTTTTATATAGTCAATTGGGTTTCCTCCTTTTAGTGGAGCGATTATTATTTTGGTAGTTTTGCAGCCACGCTTCTTCCATTTTGTAAGAAGTGCATCAGAGGAAAAATTTCATAGCCTGCTTTGTTTACTCTGTCTTGGAGTTCAGAACCTGTTTCCCTCAATAAAGACTTTTTATTGAAGAACCTGAAAACCCTGCATCTGCATCCAGCGTTTTAGTCTGGTTGTGACAATACATGCCTTTATTACAACGCATCTGGACTACTGCAATGCTCTCTATGTTTGGGTTGGCCAGACTTCCCTCTCACATTTGCATTTGGTTCACAAGAATGGGACGTACAGACGTATGGAGGGATAAATGGAAAACCTGAAAATAATATGGCTGCTGCTCTGACTGTCACCAGTGTGGAGGCATAAAAAGCCCTATGTGATGCCAGAACAGACTATTATTCATTACTAATAGGAGACCATAAAACAGGTATTAACAGGTTATGTATCACAGGCTTTTATGGTTGCAGTAATTAATCCTCTGACTTAAAAAGCCTCTACTTGGGTTCCGGTGACGTCATCACCCTGAATGGCAGCTTAATAAAACAGCTCCTTCGAGAAAACATTCACTTTGCCCCACTTAAGTTATCAAATACAAAATATTTTGAGGAACATTTGACTACAGGGTGGGGCAAGAATGGGGAAAAAGGATGGAAACAAGAAAAGCACCACTGAAGCGACTGCAAACGAAGAAAAAGCGGTAAACGGCTTCCCGACACGGTGACAAGATGGCGAAGCTAATGCTAATCCTCATACAAATGAAACAGCAAGTCTGACAAAAGTTTTGGATGCTATACGGGACTTCCACAAAGACACAAAACAACTAAATGACATTAAATCCGAGCTTACTAAAGTCAACCAAAGAATAGAGGAGGCAGAAACACGGATTGATAAGATTGAAAATCGGTGTCAAAATGTCGAAGCTGGGATAGGCAGGATGATAAAAGTGATGAACCAGCAAGAACAGAAACTACTTGCTCAAGAAGGAGATCCCGACTGGAGAATTTAAGGATTTACAATGTCCCCAAAGGAGCGGAGGGATCGTCTATGTTGGAATTTGTGGAAAAGTTTCTACGGGACACATTGGAGATTCCCCCTGATATACAGCTTGACATTGAAAGGGTCTCGGGATGAGTGCCAGAGGACAGACCTCAGTCGATAATAGTCCGATTCCTAAAACCAAAGAGGAAATTTTACGCAAGGCCTGGGGAAAGAAGGTACTTTTGGACAAGAGACCAATATACTTCGATCAGGATTACCCCCCAGCAATTCTGAAGAAATGAAGGAATATTCTGAGATGAAGCTAGTGCTAAAGCAGAAAAATATCCGCCTTCAGACTCCAGTCCCCGCTAAACTACGAGTTCACTACAAGGACAGGAAGCAGCTGTACCAGACAGTGGAAGAAGCGACTATAGACATGAAGGAGAGAGGGTTGCCTGTTAATGTGATCACACGTGGGAGAGCCTGGCTGAACAGCTATCCCGCATTGCCTGGGAAACGGTGGGAGGAAGAAGACAGCAGGAGAGGGGAAAAGAGCGGGAGCAGAACATCAAGGAGAGACTGAGAGGTTTTAGAACACATCCCTGTCCTCTTCCAGAAGAGCTATAAATACTGATTACCCTCAACAATGTTGGTAAGCTAGACTGAATCTAAACTAGATGGTGCTGTAGCCATTTAAAAAGAGAACATATTGCAAAGTGGAATCTATTTGTTCTATTTCATTTTGAATCTTGCATTTAGTCCTTTTCCCCCTTTTTACACAGAGAAAACTTTTCAGTGAAATGGACATGGACTTTTTCTTTTGCAGTTCTGGGAGCTGCAGTGGGGGCCCTCATCAGTGCACAGTTAACAGAGGCTATACCCCACAGCTAGACTTTTCCTGTAGCTCAACCCAGGGTCATTCACCAGAGACTCCACCTTGGAATCTCAGCCTTTGTTCCTTGTTCTCTTATGTGTTTTTTGTTCTTACTTGTTCAGGGAGTAGATCAGTTAAGTTTTATTTCATTAACTTTAAGAACACATTGATCAGTAATTACACATGGCTAGTGGCAAAGTAAAATTCCTTTCCTTTAAAGTCAATGGGCTGTTGAACTCAGTGAAACATAGTAAGATTTTATCCAAAATGAAGAAAGAACAAGCCCATGTAGTGACAGTTTACAGGAAACTCAGTTAAAGAGAATGGGCTTCACTAATCTGTTTTTTTCCTCATACAAATCGGGACACGGGAGAGGAGTTGCCATTCTTATTTCAAACAAACTAAATTTTGAAAAAGTATTTGAATTGGGAGATAAGGAGGACAGATATATCTTGGTGAGGGGAAATATAGATGGGAATTTAGTTACTCTATTGAATATATATGCACCTCCAGGAAGTGATATTAGCCTCTTCCAGAAAATCACTAACATCATGGTAACAGAATGAGAGGGCTTTCTAGTATGTGGTGGGGATTTAAACATACTATTACAACCAAAATTAGAGTTATCTAGTAGGAAAACTCATGATTCAAAATCACTGTATAAGAAAGTTTACCCACTTTTTGAAGATGTTGGTCTAATTGACACACGGTGGGACATTTTCTCTAACGGGAGGGATTACACCTTCTACTCTGCTCCTCATTCCGTATACACAAGAATAGATTACTTTGTAACATTTGGAAAAGACAAAGATAAGATAAATACTTGTGGAATTGGGACAATAGATATGAGTGTATTTATCTGTGGATTTTAATTTACAACCAAAGAATACTACATGGAAGCTAAATTCAAGTCTATTGAATGATCCACACTTAAAGGAACAGATTAAAAAAAGAAATTAGTCTCTATTTAGAACGACAATGGAGAGGTCTCACCTCCCATTCTATGGGATACTCTAAAGGCTGTATTAAGAGGGAAAATTATAGCAATATCCTCATATAAGAAAAAAGCAAGGAATAAAGCATTACAGGAATTACAAAACAAGCTAAAGGAATTAGAGAAAGAACATAAATTAAACATGACACAGGATACATTACAAGAAATTAAGAAAAATGTAATGTTCCTTAAACAGAGACACTATGAAAGTGAATCTAAATTTCTGAAAGTTTAAGCGTGGAAATTGAAAAAAAAATACAATCCATAGAATTAGGGATCCAAGAACAAAAGTGATAAGAAATAAACTTAGCGAAATCCAAGAAGCTTTTGAAGTTTTTTTTTTTTTTTTTTATAAAACTCTATATTCAACGGTTCCTGGTGGAAGTGAAAGTTACCCACCTTAAATGAAGAACAAAATAGAGGACTACTGACATAATTGAAAGTGAATTAAAAACTGCAATTAGTAGGCTCAAACTGAATAAATCACCAGGATTAAAAGGTTACACAGCAGAGTGGTATAAAGAATTTAAAAAACTCCCCACATTGAACTGGGCTATAAAAAAGGCACAGCTGGACAGAGGCAATAATCTCAAACACATATTTGGCCTGCAGACTCTAATACTCAACTACAGACTCATATCAAACCTCCCCTGTATTTCTACAATCCTTGAAAAAGCTGCTGCAAACGAGTTCTGAATTATTTGCATAGTAATAATTTGTTGAAGATTTCAGTGCAGAAACAGCTCTGTTACAGTGATCTCCTCACGGCCTCAGACAACTGGCTCATTGCACTGGGCTGGTTTCACTTATATTTAACAGATAGTTTACAGTTTGTTTAATGCAGTATCCATCCGCAGTCTGGACTATATCTGTGGAAACTGATGGAAACCCCCCCCCCCCCCCTCCTTTCAGGAGTAAAGGTCACATGTGAGTACAGGACTCACCAGGAGGGAGTTCTGCAGGAGGAGATCACGCTGGCGACCAGAGGGAGGAGGGACAGCAGTCTGAAGATCAGACTCCAGGCCAGAGTCATTGGTAGGTGTGAACAGACACACGCACTCAAACTGGACCAGTGTCCATACTGATTCTGGGTTAGCAGCACAGAGCCCACATCCACATAAGCCTGCCTGAATAATTTCACAGAACAACAACAAAATACAACAACAACAAAAATATTTTCTACTCTACTTTCATTTTATTTATGTTATTATTTTTATATTACTCTACAGTGTTTTGCCATGACTGTCACTGGGGTGTTGGAGGAAGCACTGAAGAATTTTTTTAATGTCACTGTAGGAAAAACACAGGTGTGAATGATAAAATTAATGATGGCTGAATTCCATTTAGCTGCGTCAGTTTCTGGGTTGTGGTATTGTTCATATTGGCTCGCTGTCATGGCTGACTGGGAATTTGAATACAACAGAGCCATTAACGTTAACATTATCAGTGACACCTGTGCTTTTCCTGCTATTACGAGTCAAGACATTTGTTTTAGCTAAAGGCCTGTGTGATTGTATATTAGTCATCAGGTCGGACTTGACCTGAGAAAACTGAATTGCACAGTGTGGCCAACAGCAGGCAGGAGAGGAAACTGCGTGATAAGTGTTGGAAGCAGCTCAGCAGCATCTCTACTTTTCCTCTGTCTATGATATTTTGACAAGAATCTATTGAAACAAGAATATAAATAATCAATATTTCCCCAGTGAGAAGTCAGTCACACGTCCTTTTTAAACAGCCTGGACGTTGGTATCATAATTCTGAGGGGGAATGGATATGAAAAATTGCTGAAGATAACTCATATAGAATTATTCCTTCAGTGAGGCCGGGGTTCAAGTGCTCAGCTCTGACACAAAAATAGGTTTCAAACTGAAGCTTTAGTGATGTCCCTCACCCATAAGTTGCTTTGGATAAAGTATGTTGAAGGAGTAATTGTAAATTAAGTCACACAGAAGGAATATTCACAGTAGAAATGACGGGAGCTGTGGTCATTAGGGACGAAGACGAACTGGCACAAGTGGGAGGGAGACTAAATACAGGAGACAATGAGACACAGGTGCAGCACATTCGGGATGGGCAGATAATCGCACAAGGGCAGGAAGTGGAGGGAGTTAGTGAGTTCAAAATAAAGCAGGACATGCGTGAACTAATGAAACATGACCTGTGAAATGGAGCGAGACTTAACAGTGTTAGAGAATGTATCATAACAGGGGGATAGTCCTTCTTGCTGATTTTCAAGTTTAAAAATAAAGACAGGACCTCAGTAAATCCAGTGGAACACACAATCAGCCTTCCTCCTTTAAATGCATTTGCAATGAGGAGAGACGTGCATCTTGCAAACACTACTCCAGCCTGATTGATAAATACAGAACATGTGCTGTGCCTGAAAAACATGCAAAAAAAAAATCAGCCAGACTTTTCCTCCATGTTGCTTTGTCTCTGTGACAGGATAACAGAATAATAACAGAAGAACAATAACAATCTGCTTGTAGTTAAACTGTGTGGATTGTGCTCTGTGGGTGCAGTACAGTAGGAAAAATGTAGCTGCTAGAGTTACATTACCCATCCCCATTTACACGGTTTCACCAGAGCAACAATACTTGTGCTCGACATTACACTAAGAGGTGAAGACACTAAACCAACATACAAAACCTACAATAAACAAACCAAAACAAAGAGATGAAGATTTATGTCAAGACTGTTTTTTCTTATATAAGTGGTCATGGAACACCATGTGTCAACAGCTGATTAACTCACAATGTGTTTCTCTCTTCATCTTCTGTGCAGATCCACATCATGGAACTCCTATGCTGCTGGAGGGGGTGAGGTGCCTGAGCACTCAGAGAGACGGCCACACAAAGCACAGCAGCAGTGATCGTAAGAGGATATGATGAAGAGATACACACGGTATCAATGTAGATATCTTCAAGGGTGCTCAGGACTCAGTGATAGAACAGAAACACCAAAAGGTGTTCCCCAAGTTAGAAACAGCTTTGGGAGATTATTGGTCTGTGATGCTTTGTTTTGCTTTTGTAGAACTCCAAAATATTTGTTAGAAAATAACAAATAGTGTAATTAAAGTGGGATGTGTTTCAAAAATTGCTTGATAATGAGGCTTTTTGTAAAAAAAAAAAAAAGAGCTTAAAGGGGACCTATTATGCTTCTCTGAGATTTCTCTTTCGTATAGTGTGTTATATAGGTTTTTGTGCATGTAAATGGCCTACAGAGTCACAAGGACAATCAACATGTCTCTTGTTGCTGCCCACCTGCAAGCTGGACACACAAGCTTGGCACACCCCCACACAAGGTGCAGCACATAACTACTTATAATGAAGAGTTTTCCTTAGTTTTATAGCCATGCTGGGGAAAATCTACTTCATTTTTCCACAATTCTCCACTGCTCCAAACATTACAGTGTGAGCCCAGCACCTCAAGGAGGACTGCTTTAGAAACCACGCCCAGCTGGACACCATAAATGTTGGATCTTCAGTTGTCTATTAATTTATTGGCTATCATGAATTAAAAAAATATTGATATTAAAAATATTGATATTAAATAATAACTTTAATAGTCCTCAGGGGCACCAGCCTTAACTAATAGGCCAATATTGTTTCAGTCTCAAATTATTATTAATATTAATATATTATTATTAAAAACACATATCACACACATATCTAATCTAGTATATACAGAAAGAGAGAGATCGGTCTATCCGAATCGGGCCGGCTACGTTGCAGCACTGACTTGTGATTGTCGATCTGTAGCCACACGACAGATGGATATTCGGGAGAGGAGAGAAGGAGGATAAATGCTTCTGGTTTATATAATCTCGACAGGTATGTTATTCCCTCAGACGTTCATGACTGATGGTATCATATACTCGATGCATGATGTGACAGATAGAGCTGCAAACTGTATTTAGAATAGGCATGATCATAGGATAATATAAATTTAATATTCGGTATAATTATATGTATAGTCTATTTTAGTGAAAATTTACTACAACAAAACCCATTTTAAACTTTGCTATTATAATCATTATTATTCAGTTAGTCTTTAAATCTAGCACTAAATTTAAAACCTCACACAGTAAGAATCAGAAGACATAAAGAGGCACTGCAGTCATATAAATTCAATAAACAGAAAAGTGTGTTCAGAGGATATTTTATTTACTTTCAGGTAAACAGACAGAGGGTTAAGTGCAAAGGGACACACACTGAATGGTGGCAGGTCCACAATCAACAATCAACCACGCTTAAATGAACAGGAAATGTATTCACACTCCTCATGTTTGGTCATTGATGTTTCTTAATAGATGACAGGCGTTTAAAGCTCCAATCCAGCACTTACAGTACACATTCATGTTGAGTATATAGGTGTTACTGTACCATCAGCTGAGTTGCCTCAACTCAGCTTTGCCAACTGTCACTTATAGCTGAATGATTTGAGAAAACTATCAAATTATGTATGTGTTTTTTTCTTTTTTTTTGACATAGAAAAAGATGATATTAAAATAAAAAAGAAAAAGTCTGCGTCGTATTGAACAAGATAAGTAGGTATATTGCTAATGTGTAGTATGCCTGCTAATGTGTGTGGTGCACCTGACATTATTTAACATTTTCAAACATATCAATTTTCAACACTTGTGATACTAACTTCCTGCTCACACTGCTGTCACATCTATTACTGACACTGAAACTGTAATGATACGCTCTGCCGTTAGCTGCTTGAGCTATAACACTTAGCTTCGCGGATTGACTGGACGGTGTCTGCTACGCAGGTCTCAAAGTAACCTTTTTGGTGAATAGTGTTTAAACACATTATACTGTTTGTTATCCACCAACTACAATTCATGATCATCCACCAATGAGCTAACTGCCTGCCTGAAAACCATCGTGTTAGCTGACAACAGGCTTCAGTTGGCTACTGGTCAGGACCATCCATGTCAGGACCACACAAAGAGCAAGCAGCGATGATGCAAAGCATGCTGGGAGCCTACTGACTTTCTTATTAGTATTACCACACTTAACATCCAGTAGGTGGTACTATAATACCACCTATAAAAAATGCCATTTACATGTTCTGGTTTCATGGAGCTATTTGTAAGAGTTTTCTATTGCTACCAGTCAACATTAGCATTGGCATCTGTTTACTTACCAAGAGCTTCAGCATCGTTGTGTTTATAATACAAGAGATTATAATACGGCCTCTGTTCAGTACTACTTCCTCAGGGCAGACTGGACGCTACAGTGGCTCTGAGATGGCACCAGTCTGGCTGTACCTAGCTGGCTAGCATGCTAACTTCAGTAGAAGAAAAGATGTGATAGAATAAAAAACAAAATCAGACAATATAGCAAAAATACCTGGTCTATTCCTGTCATAAATTATTGTAATATAATAAATACAGTACAGTAAAAAAATATATATATATATATATATATATATATATATATATATATATATAGATATATGTTTTTTTTTATTTGACACATTTCTGTTACCTCTATCATTCATCTCACCTGTCTTATTTGTTAGGTCAGGACAGCTGATTTGGCTACACTGTGACATAGACATCATGCACAGGCTCCGTTACAGTAACATTTAAAACAACTCATTTGCTCATGTCATAATCCACATGAAGAAGACGTCAACAGGGCAGGTGATTAAGGTTGAATACTTTTTACAGATGAATACTTTTTTTAAAACCAAAACGGAATATGTTTAATAGACTGTGAACGCCCTGATAGAAACTGTTTTGTACCAGATCATTTGGAAAGAGCAACAGCCGATGGAGAAACTTCAACTCAGTCACGCAGCATTTGGCTGACCAATGGTGGAACTATGATCACTCACTCAGTCAGCCACAGACATCCATGATGTAGCACTGTATTGTAGGATTATATGGCTGTCCCCGGATTTAGGGTTAGGCATTCAGTTGTGCTGATTAAGATTAGGGTAAGTGGCTGGGGAATGGGCCTCCATGAATATAGTAAAACAAGGATGTTTGTGTGTTTCTATGTGTATGTGTACAAGTGTACTGTGTAGGCTGGTTTAGTGTACCTCTCCTACAAGAGGCCTCATGGCTGTGTAAACTGTGTATATTTGTCAAAAACCTGCTAAGAGATGCAGCCTGGTTTTATTTAAAGAGGACCTATTATGGCCATTCTTAGTGTTCATCATGCTTCACATGCTTTAATGTTCTAAAAAGACATTATTTCTCTCTTTCTGTACTTATACTGTGCTCTCTTCACCCTCTGTCTCTGAAACGCTCTGTTAGAGCTCAGGGCTCTTTAAGCCTTTAAGTTGCTTGACGGCAACTACCATGGCAATGACACATTCCATGTGTCAATGGTTGTGGCAGCTTCATTCTGCCTTATAGGTTAGCACAAGAGTTCGATCCTGAACCAGAAGATGACAGATCCGATCCACCTTCACAAGCTGGACTGGAGCAAGAAAACAGCATACCCACTGTCAAGCAGTGTGGGAAGACGCAGAAATATGGAGAGCACTGGAATCAAGATGCTGGACAGTCTGCAAAGACTTTGGATGACAATATTCATAACTTGGAATATTTTAAGAGAAACCCTTTAGAAGGAATATGAATAATAGAGCAAACAGACAGACATGAACGCGGTGGGGAGTCTCCACGCTTTACCTCCTGGTAATTTACGATGCCAGTAAATCTGAGTTAATTAAACTTTAGTGCCATAGTTACTGAAGAAAAAACTGAGCAGTTAAATTGTGGATAAATTTATCCGAGCTAACGAGGTACAGCATGTCAACACTGACAAACGTTTAAGCATTTATATCTTTGCTACGCTGCTTCTTACTAACGTGATCAGGTCGTGGTAACGCGGTTAAACATCACAGATCTACAATAACAATGCAGACTGACAGGCTGTGAGTCTGAGTCCCCTGTTTGAACACATTAAATGTGTTGGACTCATTCAAGAGACCAGATGTTTCTTTGCTCCACAGACAAAGGAACTCACTTCCCCATAGTTCCTCAGTTCCTCACTTTCACACCTGGGGATGACCCCTCCCCAGGGACCTCACTGACCAGTCAGTGTGGGTCAGTGTGTGACATGTGACCCCCTAGGGTGTCACCAACAAAAACCAGATCTCCTTCTCTCTTCTTCTCTCTTCTCTTCTTGGCTTGCTCTGGAGAGCAGCTCCTGCTCTCCTCTCTCCGGCTCTTCAAGAGGGCAACAAGGCCCCAGCCCAGGTCAGCCTGCTACCTGAGAAACCAGCTCTCTCGCCGGCCTGCTCACAGCAGCCTGCAAAACACTCTTCTCCTCAACAGCAGCGACCTTCAGATTAACAGAGTAAACCAGGTTTCTCTTCAGAATCAGCAACTACAACACAAGGCAGCTGATTTTCCAAGCAACGGGAGTCATAGCAGAGTTAGCATGGAACAGCTAACTCTGTGAGGAGAACAAAGGAGATAACAGAAAGCAACACAGCCAGACAGGACTTTACTCCACCAACAACAACAACAACACTGGAAAGGACCTTTTTGTTTTGTTCCAAGACTGGGTGACGTTAACTGACTGGGCTAGACCTCTCCTAGCTCCACGCAACAGCTAAGCAGCAGAAGTCTCAACTTTGTTAATGTACTTGTTGATTGATGTCTTGTTGTTAGTAATGTTTGCCTTAGGTTGTGGTCAGTCACACAGTTAATCAGGTGCTCGTATGTTCCACACATACCTGTAGTACATCTAAGTTCTAGAACTTGCAATGCAGCTAACACACATACACACACACACACAACACACACCACACCAACAGCACACATACACACATGAAACAACCTGTA